GACGAAGGAAAACAAAAGTGCAGAGCATGACCTTCTTAAAAGGGAATGTTTTGAATTTGACCAGTTTTATTTTGGACCTGATAGTATATATCAGACCATCAACAGCACAGCGAAGGTGTAGTTTAGGATCACAGGGTCATTCATGCTGGAACGGACTTCAGTACATCTCCGTTCTGACCTTTTCTTCACTGCAGGCTCACCTGAGAGTTCAGTGCTTTATCCATTTGGGTCTTGAAAACATCTAAGAACGGAGAGACCCTGTCAAATCATTGTTTTCATTGGAAAAAATGGCTTCCTTATTTCCAGTCCTCTCTTCTCATATTTTAACTATTGTCTGTTGTCTTGTGTCTTCCCACCCTGCCTCACTGTGAAGAACGCAGCTCTGTCTTCTTGCTGACCTTCTTGTAGGTGCTGGGGAACTGCTCTTACGTCTTCCAGAGCTGCGTCTTCTTCAGGCTGAACCAGCCCTGGTAGCTTAGCCCCTCCAGAGCAAGTACTACAGCCTTCCTAAGGACTCTCTGTGAACGTTACTCCAGTTTATTGTTCTTTCCCTTACTGGGGGTCCTAAACAGGACGTGATACCCTAGATGCCATCTGATGAATGCTGACTAAAGGAGATGATCATTTTGCTCAATCTCTGGTTCTGTTTAAATCTCCAGGTCACACAGCCCAAGATGTTGTTTGTTCTCTTTGCTGCCAGGGCGTGCGGCTGGCTCCTGCTCAGCTCCTGGTTTGCCAGCACCCCTAGAGCCTTTTCAGCAAAGCTGCTCCACTCAATCAAGCGCTAGCCACACAGCTGCAGGGGGCTCACTCTTCCCTGCATGGTGTACCTGTCGTTGAATTTCATGAGGTTCCCATCAGCACATTCCTCTAGCCTTTCTGGGTCTCCCTGGGTGGTAGGCCTTTCCTCGAGCATATCAACTGGCTCTGACATTATGCAAGTGCTGTAAATTAGTACATTCTCAACAGAGTAGTAATCAGATTCCTCCCTTTCCCATTTTTAATCTCTTCCGTTTGCAGAATACTTGGAGATGTACTTGTAACAGTAGAGCAGAAAGAAGAAACATGTATGCTTAAGTGTGGTGTTTAAACTGATAGCATAATTCTAAATTTATATTAGCTAGATATTTTTTCTTCTAAATGCAGAAAAATGTATGATCTGGAATCACTGTATAAGACAAGTTACACCTGGAAAATATCTGACAGATCATCTGGTACATATGTAATGCAGGATTTCTCTGACCAGTGCATTTTCTGATGTGGTGTGTGTGTGCATGTCAGATACTGGGAATTCATTCACTCCCTCGGAAGGCAACTGCATCTCACCATTCAGATGTTTTTAATTATACTCAACATAAATGTTTCTTTTCTTAATTTCTAGCTGTAGGTGTTCCAATTCATTGTAGGGAAGTTCTACTAGATGACCTTTAAAGATCCCTTCCAACTCAGATGATTCTATGAGTCTGTGATACTGTGGAATCATATACTTAACTGGGTTTGTTAAGCCGTAGAATTCATAGGCAGTCACTTGAATTTTTGCCATTAGATGTCACTACATGTACAGCAAACAGTTTTTGAAAGTATTTATTTTTGTTTAGCCTCCCAGAAAAATGGAGGAGGGAACTGGAAGATGTAGAAGAGAATATAGTAATATATTTATGAGATAACTACTTCTTAAATAGTACATTGGATATTCCTTTACTTAAAAGCAGCACAGAAGGAAACATAAGATTTTTGACTTAACTCCAACAACCAACAGATGATGCTGTGACCTTAAGCATATATAAATATGTTTAGCAGCTGCTATGTAACATATTTATAAGTGTTTAGTGACCTGGAGGTTAATCAGAATGAATTTGGTGATCTCAGCTCAGTTCTTAATGGACTCCACTTCATATTACAGCACTGATGCAGCACAATTTGTCACAGTCGGCAGTCTTTACTCAAAGGAGGCTCACTGTGGAATGAGAATTAAAGGCTGAAGTAATACCTGATTATTTCTCCCTTAAGAAACTTTCCATTCCAGGCCATCACAGAGCAGAATAATATGTGTAGAAGCTCCGTTCTGCACACTGTACCCAATCTCAGAATAAAATAACTTTTACAGGATGTCACCTTTCGAAGTTGCTGAGTTAGCTCCTGCATACTCTAGGTTCGTGCATTCGTGGGGAGGGGGGAAGAGCAGGGTTGTGCAAGGATGGTGCTGAGTCCATCACTTTCAGAGCTCTTTCCAGAGACAGAGTGGTATCCCTTCTAAATGTGACATTACATGGGAGTATGACAAGGAAAGGCATTGCCTATCTAGATAAAATTTTAAAACGAGGTTCTGTCATTCAGATCTTTCAGGGTACAGAAGCAATTTTATAGACTTTGGTTGTTTTCTCCCTGTCCTGGCCAAAGCTAGTATATTCCTTATATTTAATTTACGCTCTGTCTCAACTGGAAATACTTTTTGATTTAAAGCTGTTGTGCAGCAGAGTGCTTTCATGAACTACAATTGAGATTGGTATCCAAAGTGGGTAACATGAAATAGGTTGTACTTCAGTTTGAGACAAAGAACAGACCCACAGCTTAGAAGATGTACATGTTATAGGAAGTAATAGTGTTGAAATATTTGTAGATCGAGACCAATTTCAGCCTACCTGCAAGGTACAATACTCCTGTGTATTTTTTTAAGCAAATTAAGGACATTGGAGAGGCAGATACCTGTGGAGACATCTGTCTTTTCCAGAATCCCATCTTCAGTCCATAAAAGAACCTTTCAACATCTATTATTCCTTTTTTAAAATGTAAAAATGCACATATACACTTTCTTCATCTTCGTTCATATCTTTGCCCAGTAATGGGAAGAATCTCACTTATCCAGCATGGAAAGAACTTTTCAATTCACAGCATTTATTGAGATATAGAATTTTTTTACTAAATTAAAAGGGGGAGGAGGGTGTTAAGATACAATATTTACATAATAAAAGCTTGCTTGTATGACTGAAATCTCTTAAAGCTGTTGCCAAATGGTCCTGCTTTTCTCTTTTCCCTTTGTAACTTTCCCTTGGAGCATTGTACCACTGTGCATTTTAAATCTTTTCCCCCCGCTATGCATTACCAGCTTCATCAGGGAAATGACATTGTATGGCAGTTGTCTCCTTCATATCAAAAGAGAGCCTTTGCCTCTTCGCAAGAGTGAAGAAAAGTTTGTCTTTAGAGAGCAGAGGACAAAACTGACTTGGAAAAATATGCTTTATTTAGATAACACACTCTCTCTTCCTTTGAAGAAATTCACAGTGTGTCAAGAAAAATTAGGCCAAATATTGCTTTAATGGTCTTCCTCCTCTACCTCATAAAAAAAAAAAAAATATTTCAACCAATTGTGTTAAGAATCTGCCATGAGTTTGGAGATGACAAGAAGCCATTGAAGTTACTCAGGATTGTTGGCTTGGGGTTTTTTCTGCTTTGATTGAAATAACTGTAATAATGAAAAGCAGAATTTATAGAAAAACTGCATCTTGATACAAGGACATGCAATTTGCACCATCTATATAGTAAAATTAAATGCTCTCTTTTTCTTGGAGGAAGACAAAAAGCAGACAGGTACCGAAGCTATGGAAGACAAAATGTGGCTGCTTCCTTTTTTATCTTATGTATTTGAAAAACAGCATAAGTTCACAAGGGCACAGTGAAGAAAGAGGTCTGATTTTTTTTGTTTTCCTATGCATGCTATCGATATTCAAATAAGTATATTCGTGCTTTTATTTATAGATACAATTTTGTATGTGTAGCCATATGCCCATATACATGTCATATAATGTGCAGTCTTCAATGATGCCAAGAAAAGGTAGATAAATGAATAGCGGATTAAAAGAATAAAAGGCTATTCTTGAAGTTGGATTAAGCATTACAAGTACTGAAAAGCATCTGAAGTTATGTCTTTAAAAATATTTTGGAGAATTCTTCCAGTTTTCCAGACAAAGATGAATCTCAATTATGGAAGTATTTTATAGACGCACAATTAAGTTTCAAAACCGAAATAGTTTTGTTGAGGCTTCTTGTTTTGACAGTGTATAGTATGTACAGAGCTTTTTGAAAGATTGGACCTAAACAGCACGTACAATGAAATGGACGTTTTGTTCAATGCTGCAGTCACGTCTTTGGTCACTTTAATGGTATTTGCTAAATAACTATGACTTTGGGCCCTAAATCAGTACTGGAAACAGGAACATCTGTTGTGTGATTAAAAAAAGAAACACAAAACAAAAACATCCACACACAAAATCTGTTTTGAAGGAAAAACGAAGCAGGAAGTTACATTTATATGATTTCACAGAATCACACAGAATCACAGAATCACCCGGGTTGGAAGGGACCTCAAGGATCATGTAGTTCCAACCCCCCTGCCTAGCAGGGCCACCAAACACACACATTCATTGGGACTTCTGTGAACGCCACTTTTGGTCATGAATCACATTCAAGGCAGACATGCAGTTGGTTTTCTCTTTTGAAACCTGAGTCTGGAAGCGTTTACAGGAAACAAGGTGTGTTTGATAACATCAGACAAACAAATCTGTAACAGATTCCATGGCACCCATTTTTCTCCTGGTCATTTCACTGTGTTCTGAGCTGTGGCAGGTGAGGACTTGTATTATATAGTCAAAATTTTCATTCACTCCGAAATTTTCTTATGCCTAGACTGTAATTTTGACTCACACTGTTGTCTACTTACAGAATAAATAATATGACCTATATTTTTGTGTTGATAGATTGTGACTATAAGCACCCCACATACTGTGTATTTCAGTGTCTTGAAATTTGTGTTCCGTCCAGTTCTTAGATGTACAGTAACTGATTCAAGACTAATAGCTCCCAATGTAGGTAAGGTGAACTAATCGCTTGCCTTCTCCTTTGCAATTTGCAAACATTAGGAGATGTACTTTTTGACAAACCACAGCACCTTCTTCAGTGAGATTCGTAATGAAACATTGTGTGTGTGTTTTTTCTTCTTGTAGGCAAGGCAATTTTCCTGCCATGAATCAGAGTGGTATTATGGGTTCCAGCTCCCCCTACACTCAGCCAATGAACAACAGCTCAGGCTTGATGAACCCACAGGCTCCTCCATACAGCATGGCGCCTAACATGGTGAACAGTTCAACAGGTAATGGTGGGTAACCTTTCAGGAGTGGCCTTTCTCCAAAAAATCTGTTTAAAGTTACCAGCCCTGAGCTGATGGCAGAGGATAACGTTCTTCATTTGATTCACCCCCTGCTGGGGTAGTTTGGAGTGATTTGAAACTAGGCTGAGATAGTCATGTTTTTTGTACAGTAACACATTTTTCACGAAGTCCTTCGCACAGCACGTAAGTGAGGACAGTGTTTTGAAAGTTACAGTGGCACTCGGACCCAGTTTGACATAGGTGTTGACTCACAAGTAGATGTGTATTTTTGTGCGTGTCTGCAAGAGGGGGAAAGAGAAGAAAAACCTCTTCTTTGAAGAGGCTGCTATTTGCTTTTCAGTGTCTTTCTTCGTAAGGTTGCAATTTCAGATATTTAATGTGATGCTGGTTTAAAGAAACAGTGTGCACCTGCTCTGACTTGAAGATGCTGTAAGTTGGACACTTACAATAATTACTCTGTTCTGAAAATACAGGCCATATTTACTGGGTTTCCAGAATTTGTATAACCATCTATAGGGTTTCTTCATTTACTTATTTAAATATCAGTGTTGAAATTTAATCATAGCTTCCTTCTGCAAACAAAGCATATTTAGCATAGCTGTTGGGTTTATCTTTCTCACTGTGACTTGTGAATTTAGAGTTCTTTGCAGATTTGTGTGCAAGTTCAAAGACAGCAAATATGCTTTATAATCCATATTCAGCTTGGCTTCCTAACAATTACCTTTCCAGTCTTCAGTAAAGACCAGTTCTTTCAGTGGGAGGGTGCATATGGAGTTTCAGTACTCTACAGTGGTTCTTTCAAAATGCTTACTGCAGTCACGGAGGTTTTGTGCATGCTTTACTGATTGCGTTAGACCTTTTTGAAAGCTGTTTTTTTAGATTTTTTTTTTTTAAGTTGAATTTCTACTTTTTGCTTTTATTTAGTTAATTTCTTTCTTTAAAGATACCTTACTATTTAAATCGTATCTTAACAAGAGTGTGTGTTTCAGTATCTTACTGCTTAGCCTGTTTCATTCCTTCATCCTTTGCCTTCGTTCCAGCTTTCCCTTCTTGTCAATTTTATGTTCCCTTGCTTCTCAGACAGAAAATGATCATATGAAATTCTGGTGTCCAGTGTGACCAGAGCATTTCTTTGCTGTGTATAGGAGCTCCTGAAATACTTAAGAGTTGTCTTATCTTTCAAGAATACTGTTACATTTTTGTTAGCTGAAGAAACTGAATAGAAGTTGTTAATCAGCAAGCTTTAAAAAGGAAAAAAAAAAAAAAGGAAAAAAAAAAAAGGCCTTTTCCAGTCTGTCTTGAAAGCTCTTGGTTAGTCCAGACAGCACGCTTCTACCATCTGAACGAAGAGGGAAAAGGTATTGAAAAGACCATTAGATAATAGCTGGCTCTTCCCCCACCAGAGCTGTCCCAGGTAATATTATGTTTTGTTTGTGTAGTTATGTGTTTTGTCTGGCTTGCTGAAATAAAATTACTTCTGAGCATTGAAACTGTGCTATAAATTCTGTTTTGCTATTAGCAGAAGTAATTTTTCCCCCTTTTCCTTCGGCCCCCAGAGCTGCAAAAATAACCAACAGCAAACAGATGGCAGAGTGCCCTGCCTAAGAAGATTTATGTATTCCTAAGGAATAACCAGTTTAAAGGAAGATTCACAGAGGTTTTTTTGTTCAGATAATTCAGCCATTCGTTATTTCATACAGTGGAAATCTGTTCAATGCAAGGCCATTTATCCTAGCAGTCTTTTGTATGGGGTAGTCATACTCTTTTTATTGTGTTATGCATTCTGAAATATTGGATTTTTAATAATTTAAACATTTATCAGGGTTTTTTTTTTTCTGCCAGTGCATTTGTGAGGTTTTCTTTTGTTCCACTTTTATTAATTCAAAGGTTACCCAATAGAAAATAAGCACAAGATGAACTGGAGGAGCTCAGCGCACCTCTTCTCCTCTGTGTGTGAGCAGACATGCATCTAGATTATACTGTGTCACTTTTGCAGACTCCATCAGCACACAGAGTGTGTTGGTACAGGGGGGAAAAGAGAAAATGGGGCATGAGTACACCATTTGGGCACATGCAGTGGGAGTGCTGCCATTCCCTGTGTGCTGACTTGTTCTGCCTGGGCCAAAGAAACGAAGGGCTGAGTTTAAGAGAAGTGTCACTACTGCACTTCAAATGATATTGGCTTGTGCAGGGTGGGCCCTGCAGGGTCTGCTCCCATCCAGGCGCTGCATGCTATGAGGTAGAGAACGTGCAGATGGTGCCTGCATATAGGTTAAAAATGGTGTTATCTGTGACACAAAGAGCAACTCCATTGCCTGGCTCCTGAGCCCTCCACTAGTATAAAGCCATGTCAATCAGAAAAAAACAGGGTTCAGTCAGTGTGTAGGGCCAAAAAAAAGCAATTGAGTAGCTGCTGGTGGAGTCAAGTGAGAGGGTTAACTTGCTGGCAAGCACTGAGCATGCATACCTGTTGTTTCAATCACAGGTCAATGCAAAAATAAGGTAAGCAACAGGGAATGATTGCTTTCTTGTTGGTTTTCTGGGTTTTTGAGAGTGCAGTTGCCTGTTTTGGAGGTGGAAGGTGGAAGGTAGGTTTTGATTTATTTGTAATGAAATGCAGTTGTAGGTTTTGCTTTATGAAGTAGAAGATGCAGATACTGTTTGGAATTGTTTTTACACGGTTGCAGAGCTTCTGTACAACTGCCTATAATGCTTCTTGCCACCTGTTCTTATTATTGTTTATAACTCCTTAATACCAGTTAATTTTTTTTATTATTATTTTGCTGTCTTTTTTTTTTTTTAATTGATGTAACAATCAAAAGGAATATGATGTTGCAGTTCTGCATCCTGATATTTCAGGAGCCGCTGTTGGTCAAACAGCACATCAGCAGCTTTTGCTGAGATAGAGCAGTTTTGGAGCACAGAAATTATGAGGTTAATGTAGTTGAGTCCTTCTAATAGAGTATCCCACCCATAATACTGAAAGTTTCAAGCCAGGATCCCTTCACAATTACAGAACAAACTGCCACACAGAAAAACAGTAAAAACCTCTGCTGTCTTTGTGTTATATGAGGGTTCACATTCCCATATTTATTTTATATCCTTTTTCCCTCCATTTTTCTAATTCAGGCTTTAAAAAAATATAATTAAAAGGAACTTACAAATCCAACATCAATTAAAAAAAAATATTCATGTGAACCTTGGAAATTCAAGTGAAAACTAGCTTGAAAGACAAGTAATATGGAGTCTACATCTTGTGGATTTCCATATTGTACTCATACCCCTTTCTACCTCTGAAGGTGATCAAAACAGTCAAAAGACATTCATCTCCTTACTGCTGCCACCTCTGCTGTACTAAAACCTTTTATTTTTCTGAGGTTTGTTATTCTCAATAAATCTCTTAATATAGGAATACTTAACATAAAATGTGAAGTTCTAGGAAAAGGTATTTGTGCTGAAGAAATTAAAAGGATTCTCTTAAAAGTAGAACACTTACATTTTCATTTATAATTTGTTTTTGACTTTGTATTTATTTGGCTGGACCTCTGAGAGAGAAAGTGATTATAAATGTGAAGCATTTTTTAGAAGTGTAAATTGTTGTTCTCTATTTTGTAGCTTGGTTGGTTTTCATTTTTCAGACTAATGAAGACCTCCATTTATTTTCCTTTTTCTTTCTTTTTTGCCCTAATATATGCCTTCATATGAGCAATTATTTAAAGTCCATTTAAATAAAACTTTCAGAGGGCACCAGCAGTTGTAATACCTGAAGTAACACATCCCCTAGACTTTAAATGGGCGATGACTGTAACCTGATGGTCAGTGTGACCACAAATCAGTCAGCTCTGGGAGTTCACTTGCCCACATCCCCAGCCACGTGCCTGGGTCACCCCTCAGGCAAGAGGTTGGATAGGCATGTGGAGAGCACAGTGCTGACATCCTGGCTGCCCAAGTGCCTGTCTCAGAAACAGAGGCCAAGTGTCCCAGGCTTTGCTTTGACCCACAGGGGAATGGCCATTCATGGGAGGATATGAGGCAATGCTGTTGTCCCTGTTCTGGTTTTTTTGTGGGTATTAAAGCAGTGGGGATTCTTTTGCCAGCTTCACGAGTCATAAATTTTCTGCTTTTCTTTTTTCTTGTTTTTTTTTTTTTTTTTTTTTTTTTTTCCTTTTTGGAGGGAGTGTGCTAGGGGCAGGAGGGAGGGAGGAATGTCTTACAAAGGATGCAATATTCTGTTTTGTAGAGTGTGATTTGTTATTGCGCTAGCAATAAAGAGAAAAACAATGTTTGTGTATTGCTGCTCTTACAGTATTTCATCATCTTCTGAGACTGATAGCACAGCCTTTAGCAAAAAAGAATACTTTGCTGCAGTTTCACTCATGTCAATATATACCTTTGAGTACATTAAATTCAGTGTGGAATAGTTAATTCAGGACCTTGACCCATACTTGCTTTTTGAAACCATTCTAGCTCTTAAATTCTTATAATAAGCCAGAGGCTAGTACTTGAAACCTATTCACAGTGCACTACAGCACTTTCTGAGTCAAGGTTTTCCTGTTACCCTCTTCTCTAAAATGTTTTCTCTTTCGGTTTGCACTTCACACGCAGAATTATCAGTGCCTATGTAGAAAGAGAGCATGTCTTAATTTAGCAGTTTCGTGACAATAACAGTATTCTGCTGCTCAGAAAGGGTCAAAACAATGTTCTGGCTGTACTGCTGTGCTGAAAAGTGAAGGAGTGTCTGTTTGCAAATCACTGGAGAGTACATTTGCAAGAAGTTATGAAACAGCATTTCAGCAGTGGATGGAAAGTAGCTGTGGAAATGTGTTGGATAAAAGCTATAGGGAGACCTTGCCATTTGGTAGTCAAACCCCTGCAGTTCTCCTCTTTAGGATAGAAGCAAATTACGTATGTGAAGCAAATAGTTTAGAACACAAAGTGAAAAAGAATTTGGAAAGCTTCATTTGTCTTTTGTTTGTAATTTTCTCCAACTCCTGATAGTTGGAGACCAAATTATGTATGCATATGCACAAAACAAGAAATCTGTAGTACACAAAATGAGTTGGTGTTTTTGTATTCCCAAATATAATTAATGCAGTCAGGGTGTGTTTTGTTGCAGCCTAGAGTTCTTGCCCTTTACATGAGATCTTAGCTGAAACCTCATTGAAAAAGAGATTTTGTAAAGGAGCTCTGGTGGAAATAGGGCTGCCAGGAATAGGCAGAAATATTTTGTTCTTTGTAACAGAAAAGTCATGTGCCAGCGTCGTAACAGGGAGAGACCAGCAGAGGATTTGGCCATGCTGAATTCCAGTGAAGAAACATGATTTTTAACGTTACTTTGTTTGACCTTTCTAAAATTGCTTTAGAGGGGAAGGGTCACTTTTGGTTTGCTTTTAACTAAAACTGAGATGTCTTCTTCAGTGCTTTCACAGCATGAAATGTGTTAAAAAGGATTTTGTGTAGCAGTTTTGCATCCCAGTTTGAAACCAGACTGTGGCAATACATTTGACCATTTTGTATTTAAAAAACATATCTGAAAGAAAAGTAACTTTTTTTTTTTAAACTCTAGATCTCAAAACTAAAATGTGTTAAGCTGACATCCTTCACTTCATAATACCCCAGTTCTTCAAGCACTGTAAGGGCAAAATGCATACAAATCACACGCTTAGTGGATGCTGGCTTCCCAGTATAATATTGCTTGGCTGTTTTGTTGAGGTTTCACACACATACATAAAAATAACAGCATTTTTAGCTGATCCCAATAGATTTTCTCTGCAGCTGCATCACTTGAAAAAACCTCTTTGTTCCAATTCTTGAAATCTTCAGTATTGCAAGTATATTTTTTTTAAATATCAATTATGATTTATGTGCAGTGAAGACTTTAAGGGTTTGATTGGGCTACAAATGTACTGTGAAAAAAAAACAAGAAAATGTGCCCGTGAAAAACACTGGCCGTTCAAAGCTGAATATTGAGCATACAGTTGTAAACTCACATGGCACATGGCTGGGTAGGTTTTTTTGGCAGACCCATAGTCTCAACCTGCAGTGATGCTAAAGATATTAGCAAATTAGCACTGCAAAGCTTGCCAGCGTATTCACCAGAGTCCTGCTCATGCTCTCACTGCTGTAATTAAAACTAATTATTTTCTAAAACATAGTAATACATGAATATGTGCAATAATCATTTTGTAGTGGGCAATCTGTGAAGCATTTTTAAGCTTCTTTTCCCCCTCCTCTCTTTGGCTTGCTATGCAGCATGCCTGCTGCCTTGTGTGAGCCAGCATTGTCATTTTGCAGAGGCACACTAGTCTGGTAATGATCACATTTCTGTGTTGTTTTTTTTTTAAGAAATGTTTCTTCGCTGATTCTTAGAATTTGTGAGTTTGGGATGTGTATTTTTTCCTTTTTCATTGCCCTGTAGGTTATTCTAGCCTATGTTTTTATTTCTCTCTGATCTTTCTTTGAAAGCAGGGCATGAGGGGAGTAAAAAAAGAGGGAGAGGGAGGGAAGATAATCCAGTCTTTCACAAATGCTGAGCACATGTTTTTCTTGCAGAAAAGAAGTGCCTGGTGTCTTGCTCTTGTTCTTTGGTCATTTGCATTGATTCAGTGTCATGGCACCTCCTAGCACCTGCACTGACCAGTATTTTCTGTGTATTTATCTGAATGTTTCTTGTATCTTTCTAGAAGTCCATGAAGCCAGCAGCGGTAACACTACACTTAGCACTTGAAAAGAAGAAAAAATTAAAAAAAAACCCTTAAACCCCTCACGGCTCTGAGAAGTTAACTGCATTGCACTATCAGAGCAAGATATTTGTGTGTTCATTACAGTCCTACCTCATTTTGGCACAAGAGAAAAAGTTGACTGCCACTTCTCTAACAGAGCAGAGTTTGCAGCTTGTAATTCTGTAGTTCAGGCTCACAAGGCTGAACAACGTACCGTGAAGGTAGGGACAGTGATCATCTCCTGGACACCAGTTATAATACAGAAGAATTTCAGCCTTTTCCTCAGATTCAAAATTGCAAGCAAAGTCTGCATTGTTTTCATCTATCTTAGTCTATTACTAAAAGAAAAGTGGAGTAGTTAGTAGGGTAGATTCTTGGCCTGGTAAAATGTAGTGGTCAGATCCATAGACAGCTGTAGACCACCAGTGGTGTAAAAAATGATTTTCTGCATAAAGTGTTTTTTATTGCTGTTGTGTGGCGCTTGCATTCTTCCCGTGTTCATTTCTTTTGTTTCCTCGCTTCAACTGAAGAGGTGTGCAGGTTTCTGGATGCCAAAATGAAAGGACAGAGGTGGGATAACCTCTGCTTCACGTGTCACCACAGTCTGGCAGCAGGAAGCCTTTTTTTCCTAGCAAACCGAACACAGTCGTGCTTAACTGTTTCTCCTGTTTTCGATTAGCACCTATGGGTCTTGCAGATATGATGACACCTGGTGAGTCCAAACTACCCCTTCCTCTCAAAGCAGATGGCAAAGAAGAAGGAGCCCCTCAACCTGAGAGCAAATCAAAGGTATTTACCACCCCGCACGTGGTGTTGGTTCAGCCCGCAGGACTCTGCTGTGTTGTCGTCCATCTTCTGGTTTTGGCCTACCCACTTCTGTTCTTTCCTGCATGCGTTTCCATTCACGTGCAATTTCTTTCTTTGTTTCTTCTTTTTTTTTTTTTCCTTTTTTCCTTCATTGTGTGGATCTGAAAGTTACTAGTTCTTACGGCATTTTAACTTGCGGGGGCAAAGCTACCCAAGCCAAAAGTTGCGTGGGGATTCGGCTGTGCCAGGTGGGTGGGGAAGAAGGGTCTTGCCTGATTTCAATACTTGCAGCCATTTTTCTCTGCCTTCAGTTATGGCTTCCTGTTTTGGCTGGCTCAGCAGCAGCAACATACTTTAATATTTTGCTTTCTTGCCTTATTTGATAAAATAAGGTGAACAGCTTGTTGTTTTTCTTTCTTTCATAAGGGGAAACCCATGCTTAGCATTCCATGTGAGCTTGAAATAAGCATGGTGGCTTAGTGACTTTAGCCAAGCATCCAGCAAACTTTCCAAATTATACTAATTAACAATGTTGTTTTAATACTTTATATATATATAAATATATTTATATATGTGTGTGTTTTCTGTATGTGTCTCTCTGTTTATATATATTTTATATATAAAAAAATTGGTCACTCTGTTAAACTGGATGTATTTTTTTTGTTTTTAATAAAGTTTTCCCTGCTTTGTCATATTATTTTTTTTTTATTCCTCTACCACAGGATAGCTACAGCTCTCAGGGTATTTCTCAGCCCCCAACCCCAGGCAACCTGCCAGTCCCTTCCCCAATGTCCCCAAGCTCTGCTAGCATCTCCTCATTTCATGGAGATGAAAGTGATAGCATTAGCAGCCCAGGCTGGCCAAAGACTCCATCAAGCCCTGTAAGTGGCTCTGATTTTTTTGGTTTTTGTTTATTTTTTTTGTAATTAATTCTATTTTAATGCTTGCTTGTTTGTTTTATAAATTCCTTTTCTTCATTATTTATCCACTAAACAGTTATCTTTCTTTGTAACACTGGGTACAAATTCTGCTCTTGGACACATGGCTGTAAGTTCCACTGCCTGGCTTCAGTGGGGCCTGAGCATGCTTTTCCAAGGGCAAAATTTGTCCCAACAGTACTTTAAAATAAGAAAGAGTAAAATCGTGTGCATCATGCAAATGTGCTGTCTGGTAATACAGCAGTTGTTGTGAAGAAAACATCCTGTAATGCATCAGCTTCCAAGCATGCCGACTGTGTTGTTAAGGACAATTCCATGTCTGTTCCTGGGCCCAAACTCCTTCACACAACTGATTTCACTCTGGTTGCTGCACTTGTCTTTGCTAGTGTTATTTAGGAAAAATAAAAAATAAAAAAAAAATCCCACACAACAGAAACTAAGATCCAGCAACACTTGAATCGTAGCCTTAGCGCCACAAAAAAAGCTGCCGTGTGTATTTTTGAAGCATTTTTAATTTTGAATTGTGTATTTGGAAATATGATTATTGAGTTCTCAGGGCACAATCTAAAACAAAATTGTTTCTGATTTGCTTCATTCAGTTGTTTTGAAATAACCCAGATTGTGGGTAGAAAAAAAAAAAAAAGATATGTGTAAGTTTTTAGAAAGCCGTTTTTAGGTGAATCATGTTTAATTATTCTCTTCCAGGAAAAACCTGAGAGAGATGCATGGAGCTAAAATATAAATGGCATATATTTATACATGCACACAGAAAAATCTGTGTACATGTATATACATACAGAAAAAAAGAGAATGCAGAATATGTGGCTTCTGCAGAGCAAGTGTCCACTTAGCCATTTTTGCTTTTTTTCTTTTTTGTAATCAGGAAAATGTATGTAGTTCCTATTCTTTCCACTACAAATAATGATCATGTTTTTTCACTTGAAAAAAATATTGCAACAGATTTTTGTGAGGAATATCAAGTTTTTTCTTCCTGTGCTAACATGCACGTAAAATGCCAACAATTCGTTGGTAATTTTCACAAAGTTTTATGTTGAAGAGTGTGTCTTGGAAAATAGAGGAAGGCCAATTGGAGGAAAAAAGGTCTTCCCTTCAGAAAGCCAGACATTAACGAATGCCCTGAGCAGAGAAGCAGCATGGCATGAAGTGCACCACCTGGATGTTTTGATGTTTATTTGGCAGCAACTTTGAGTCTCAGAAGGCAGCTGGTGTTACTTGTTCCCACAAAATCTTATTTGTTCTTAACAGCATTTATAAGGGGGGTGGGACACAAAAATATGGGGTTAGTTTTGTTTGTAGTAATGTTTTGACTGTTGCTTCTCTGGGAGGAAAGCAAGGCTACTGCATAAGTTATCTAACCCATCAAATTCTTTTACAGCGCGTTCCTGAGCTCATTGTATGAATTACATAATAAATCCTAGAGCCACCATGGAATATTTTCCATGTAAATATAGCAAGTGTAGTGTTGGAAAAAACAAATGGACAAAGTTTGTGCTTTCAGTGTAAAAAACTTCTCTTCTGAGTGCCCTTCTGTTCAAATGCTGCTGCATTTTTAGCTTCACTTAGCTTCTTGGTGCACAGGTTGGGATAAATACAGTGCTTTAGAATGATGGAAAAATAAGTGCTGTAAATTAGCCGATCTCTTTTTACCTATGAAAGCCAGTGTATTGGATAACTTCATCGACCTTAACAGCAGCCTGACATAGACTGGAAGATTGATTGCAGTCGTTTTGTTACACTTGGAAACAGACCAGATTTGTTCATTAAATCCCAAAGCAGCTTTCTTGTGCTACAACTTCTCCATTTCAGCAGAGGGTAAAAGCAAGGGTGAATGGTCTCACGATGTACCTGTGATCCTACAAAGTGAGTCCTCTCTTTGAGTAGTTCTATATGGAATTGAGGCATAAGAAAATGTAGAGAAGGAATTGTTCACCATTACGTTGTGAAGGCTCTTAAGTGTTAAGATAAAAGTTCGCTTTTGCTGTGTGAATTTTATACTTAGCCTGTGTCCCTTACAGTCCCTTTAAAAGAGAATTTGAAAATGAGTATGCACTGTGCGTAGTCACTGCAACATGAGTAAAACACTAGGTTATGAAAATCCCATAAAATGTTGTCTGTTGTTTGTAATCACATGTGCACATGGCAGTAGAGACGCCTGAGTAGCACTGTCTCTGTGGTGCTAGCTTTGAGGGGGTTTGAGGAGTCCTTCAGGATATATCTTGGCAGAGGATTGTGTCCTGTAACAGCCTCTATCTGAGATTGGCCTGCAGCTGTTTTGCTGTATTTGCAGCTGTATTGCTGCCTGTGTATGCATACTGTTCTGTAGTGAAAGAGCACTGTGTAATAAGTGTAGTGTTGGCAAATCCTTTACTGAAGTGGGGAAAGTGAACAGTAGATAGTTCTATAAATACAGGTAGCTAGGGAGATGTGCAGCAATAACTACCACTGCCCTAATGTGAAAATTTCACATTAAGTTTTTGTTGCTCTGAAGGATTAGGTAGCTTCACCATGCCACAGTCTGTATTAAAGCTGGACAACTTCAATAGGGGATAGGTATATTGAAAATAAAGTATGGGGTTAAGCAAATTTAATAGGGGAATTGGCTTTGGCATCTGTATTCTTCGTTGGGTTTTTGTTGTTGTTGTTGTTTTTTTTATCATCCATTTAAAGACGGGTAGTAACATCTGTAGAATAGCTGGGAATTGAGGGCAGAGTAGGATACAGCTAAGTTAATGAAGGTATATGCAACAGGATTGCACCAGTATTTTTTACTAGAATTATCAACAAATCAAAGAAAAGCTCATCATCTGTTTTCTTTCAGCATTGTCTTGCTTGCACACACTTCAGCTAAGGATCTGTTAATGATGTCATCTTGTAATAAACCTGTATTTTCTTGTAGTTAACATTGACCTATAGGCAGATTTAGGCTTCCAGCTGAATGCACCCTTGTGGATCTGAAGTTTGTGTGTAGACTAGTTTGCACACATCTGTCATTTTTACATGTTTACATTTATAAAAACAGAGAAGAGAAAAAGATCTTTACTCTTGAGGAATAGCATTTTTCCCACCAGTGCATTCTTCTAAAGTTAACATTTCATTTTAGAAGAAAATTGTGCCCATTTTACAAAGCCTGACAACCTGAAAGCTAACACAGTAAGAAACACTTCTTACCTTCTGTAAGCTGTGAAAAGTTTTCAGATTATACTGTCATTTTAGAGCCTGCTGCCGCATTGCTGGAAAGCAGCATTATTTGAGACCTACAGTAGAAGAGCACGGAATGAAAAATTCTTTACTGGCTTCCATTCTGCTGAGTCTGATTTGAAAAAGAGAATCTTACCATATAAAAACCAAGGCATAAAACTGGTAAATCTGAACATTCTTAATGCTGAACTACCATAAATTTGAAATAGAAACTTCTTTGTTGCCTTACATGTTAAAATATGAGGGCATACAATATTTACTGGGTAAAAGGTGAAATTTCCTACCCTCATTTTTACTGGAGTTCCTTGGCTTCCTAAGTGCAAATTAAAATTAATGGTAATGCTGATGAACAGTAATGCAGCTTTGTTATTATTACTGCAGTTGGTAGAGTAGCATCAATTTACTCTGCTGTTTGAATCTAAAATCATCTATCTGTTTACATTACAAAATCATATTAGTAGCAAGATGACTTGTCTACAGCCCTCACTGCACCCTCCACCAAAAAATCTATATTGAAAAAAATTCTCTTGAACACTTAAATACATAGCAAGTGATGTTTTGAGTAAAGTGTTTGCCATTGCAGAGTCAGTTTGTGATTCCATTGCATAATCAAAATCTGCAGGACATATCAGAATACTTTCTTGCCAGCCACTTAATATTAGTAAAACAAATTCAGCCTTGACTTTACTATGATTTCTAACGCAAGTGAATCTGACCCAAGTAAATTAAAAGCAGTATCTTGTTGCTAAGTGAAGAAGGTAATATTATCCGTCTGTAGGAAGGACTACTGCAAGGGAGTTGCAGGAAGTAAAGCAGAAAACTTTATGGGAGGCTATTTATTTAATTAAAATGAATATCCATTCACTGGAAAGAACAGCAGTGGCTCATGGAACTGTTGGATCACACTCTCTTGGCTTCGGGTTTCTTTTCTCCTGGCTCTCCTCCAGTATTGCCAAGTTTCAGCTGGAGGGAGATACAGAGCCTGTCATATTTTCCAGGCTAATGTGCAAGATGAATGGTGGCAATGCTTTTAAAATCATTGGCAGTTGGATGCTACTATGCTGCATCTTTCGTAATGTCAGGTGCCAGCGCTCACTATCACAGTGTGGGGGCATGCACAAGTGGCTGGTGCTGTAGCACCCATGGTACACTTCTAGAGTTGTGTTTAGAAGTGTTCAACTAGAATTACAGTATTCTTAAGAACAGTACTGTCTCCTGTTCAAAGTAAGAAAAGGCAAAGGAGGAAAAGAGTGGTTGACTGGATGATTTTGATGTGTCTTCTGCAGTCAACAAGCAAGAGAGAGTATAGAGAGTATGTTTCCCTTCATATACTTGGCTCCTTTCCCAAAGCTTTATATCAGTCTTTCTCTCTTGTGTTTAGTTCTAAGCCACTCCATCTTCCAGTGCAGGGCAAATCACTTCACCCTGTGCAAGTGGGAGGGTCTGCCATCAGTGGTAACAGCTCCACTCTGCTGTCCGATCAGAGGCCTTAGACAGTGTGTGGTCCATCCACACATGGCACAGAGCCCAGCTTACAGATGCAAGAAGAGGATATGATGAGAAGTTATGTGTTCTAGCTTGTGTAGCAGCCTCAGTGCTTTCACTGTCCCTAGAAAAAAAAAGAAAAGCGTATCAAGATAGCGTGAGCTTTTGTTAGCTGTCAAGTCAGAGTAGCAGCAAGAGAAAGGGTTCAGGCGTGCAATTCTGCTTTTTCCACTTCTTTCACTTTTCCTGATAGTGCTTCAGCTCTGATTGCTGTGAATCCTGTTTTTCCCCAGGTCATAATACCCATTGTCTTCCCAAGGCAGGACATGTGAAATGACCATCTTCTGTTGTCCTTTTAAGAGATGAGAGTATTACCTACTCCTGAGCATTATTGGCTCAGACAGATGATTCACAGTTCTCAAAAAGTATTGCCACCAATCTCCTTGTACTGTAGGCACTCTTAATTATCTTTCTCTTGGCCAACAGTAGTGCAAACAGACAGTAAAGCGATACCATTTATGACTCTCTAAATTGGGTACTGCTCCCCAGGGTACTAGATTTTTGTAATCCATGCGTTAGGCTATCTTCGTGCAATTCCTGTTCTGTTGAAACACTTCTGGGTCTTCTAGCCCTTTTTAAGGTGGAAAGGGAGAATGTTCATTAGTTTGTTTTTAGTATATGCTGTGTGGGACAAACGTGTTTTCAATTTTGCCAAAATTACTGCTTGCAAAGCACTTTGAGATAAGTGGATGAGAAGCACTATGTGAGAGATGTTTGTTATTAAAATGAAATGAGGCAACATCAGAAACTTGCCTTCTGGGATCCAAAGTTCAAATTGGTGAAAGAAACATGAGAATGGGGAGTTTGGGCCCTTTTAATTAAAAAGCTGAATTTTCAGTATATGGACAGAATGTACTGTTTGTGCCTGAACTAGTAGCCTTCATTCCTGACTGTTGTGTGATAGCTTTAGTTTGTTTGACATCTTCTCTTTATCAGTGTTGTGAGTTTCTTACTTTCTTTTCCCTCCCCTTCCCACCCTTCCCCCAACTCTTGTTTCTTTTTGCCATTCAGAAATCAAGTTCCTCTACCACAACTGGAGAGAAGATCACGAAAGTCTATGAACTTGGCAATGAACCAGAGCGCAAGATGTGGGTAGACCGGTATCTCACATTCATGGAGGAGAGGGGCACCCCTGTGGCCAGTCTGCCAGCTGTGGGCAAGAAGCCCTTGGACCTGTTCAGGCTGTATGTCTGCGTCAAAGAGATTGGAGGTTTAGCACAGGTGAGAGGTGCCTCACAGCAAAGCTTTGCAGAAGTCAGCACACCATTTTCTAGAATATTTCCTGCTGGTTATGCAATTGCATTTACAGCCCTGAAAACAGAATTAAGTAGAGTTTGATCATATTTATGCTTTTATGTTTATCTGGAAGTCATCTTGGGCTACGTGACTGCTCTAAAAGTCTACAGTTTGAAAGAAAATTGATCATTGCTGTAGACAGTTCATTGTTGTTGCATATTCACAGTATTCCAGTAATGCTGCTAAGAGAAGGGGAGAGGAAAAGGCCATTGCATCAAATTCACCTGTAAAAGCAGATGATAGAACTGAAAGGAAATATCTGAAAGAAAAGAGATTTGGAAATCCATCCTTCCCAGACAGATGTACTGCCTCTGGGACAAATCAGTTCATTTCTCCAGAAAAGTGGTAGATTTATTCTTAAAAACAGTCTCCTTCATCTCCAATTCTCCTTGTTTTCCAATTGTCTCTATACAGTGCACTTGTGTCTTAGACTTGTGTCACAGACTGTGCTTTTCCTGTCTTTGGAAAACGTTTACAGGATATTTTGGTTTGCAATGCAAACATAATCATTACAAAGAAAAGATGAATTTCTTAGTTGTGAAGAAGGGAAATGAAAGTAGGAAGAGCTGAGAATAAAAAAGTGCTATATTAGAATAGAGAATGTGCAATATCTGTGGCCTTATTCTTCCTGAGCATATTTGTTATGCCACAGATGGAAGAAGCTTTCATTTTTGTATTCACAGTCAGCTGGAACTTTAGCGAAGGAGTGCATGGAAATAACATACATAGGGTTCTGTATGACTGACCTCCACAGAGCAAAACTACGTGTTCCTTTGTCTACCAATATCAAAAGTTAGTAAATCATCAGTATTTGCAAAGTTAGATTTTGTATTTGACATTAGTTCTCCTTTCCTAATGCTTACAAAGCATCCTTTTCATCTACAGGGTCAGTCTGGCCAGGTGCTAGAAGCTGCTGTGAAACGCTGAGATCCTTATTTTCTGTGAATTCAAGAGCATTTGTGCATATTTGCAAGACAAGGGCTTAAAGATAGGGGTATAGATAGATGTTTATGCAGTATTTAATATTTAAATACATATCATATTACAATAATTAGAAAATATTATCTCAAAAATGTAGTAAGTCAAATTAGCTCCTTAGAAAATGAGCACATTTTAATGATCTATCTGGTTAGCTCAAGAAAGAAACTTCCAACATTAATTAATACCATTATCACTGCTGTTATTAATAGTACGCTTCACAACACAGGACTTGACTGCTGAATTAAATCACTGACCCAAGTCCAGAAATGTTAGCTATTCCTGTTATTAGAGGAAGGCAGAGAAACCTAATACACTTCACCTTGCCTGTTGTTAAATGCTATATATGGGCAAGAGATGGTATCCTGACATTTTTAGTGATCAGCTCATGCCCCCCAGCATCATAAAGATTTGATTACTTTTAGCTGAGAAACTTTATTACAGGTAAATCGTATCATGCAGCTGCTCTGCCTCATACACCATGATTGTGCCCACAGCATGACTCTTAGAATGAAAAATAAAGCAGGGGGGACAAATGGGATGTTCTAGAGAGTTGTTGGTGTTTGCTTATCACATAGAAATTTATTTTATTTGGGGGCACTCGGTGTTAATTTGCAATGACAGACATTATGCATTGCCGAAGAGTAGATGCTGTTCACTTACACTGATTTTTGAAGGATCTTGAGTTACAAAATTGTGTGCTACAGAACTGATAAGAATTGACATTGAAAGTAAGGGCTCTTGGTTTTGCTGTATGCCCACATGAATGATCACCATGTTTATCTGTTTGGGCCTACTGTGAGGGAAAGTGCTTTGCTTGATGAGATTTATTTAAATGCATCTGAGTGACACTCTCCTAAAAAGTTGTTAATCCAGCTGCTACACTGCACATCTCCTGATTCTTCCCAGAGAGTGACAGGGAACGTCGCTGTGCAGCAGCAGTACGTGCTCTCCGAATACGTGCTTTTGATGGGATCCCAATATGAGCAGACCAGCTGTTGGCAGCCTTCTTTTAAATGCCAATATAGTGGGCATTTAGGCATGAATATTTCTGTTTGCATTATGCAATGTGTTCATTATGTACCACTTAGCTGTACGTCAGTAGGCACAAAGGGCTGTGTAGCTGGGTTTCAAGCCTCAGCAGGGGCAATTTATGGAAAATATCTTCTTTAACTCTTGGGTTCTTGGGGGATCTGCCAGAGAAATAAAAACACATTGCATAGCCATGCAAATCTGCCTGCTATCCCCAGAAGTCTGGCAGCAGTATTGATGTTATTAAACACAGAGAGAAATCTAAGAAATATTTCTTTTGCTGTCAGAAGGGCATAGGAACAGTACGGCTAATGTTAACCTTTATGGCTAGTGAAATTGAGTTGGAATCATAGAATCTCAGGCCTCAGGACAAGTACAAAGCATCATGGCATGCAAGAATCAGGATTTTTCCTCAACAAAGGCCCAGATGCTCAAAGCCCATTTATGTCATGCTCCCTCCCATCCTTGGACCATACCTAACAATTGCACAACTGGTTGAATGAACTTTAGGGCATCAGATTATACAGCAAAAACAATACTCTGTCTGATATAGGTGCGTGAGCCAGTGGCATCATCCAAGATGACAAATGAACTAAGCTGGTACTACAGATCAGCTGTGTGTTTGAGGAATTCAGGAAGAGAATCTTTGGATATTCTCAACCTTGTATTGCAAACAAGACTCACAGCAGAGTTGTGCAGTCAGCACTGCAGTACAGGGTGTTGCTGGACTAGCCCTGTGTGTTTGAAGTCTGCCATAATTAATTAAAGGGCCTCACTCCACTCTGCATCTCATCTAGCCAAAGGATCATTGATCTGTCCCTGCAAGATGCTGTGAAGTGAAAGGACTCAAGCCAGGAATTATAGGCTAAACTGTCTGACAGCTGGTGGCTATTCTGGAGAAAAAAATATTTTTCATATCAGTGCTCAAACGCTTAAATTGCAGAATAATGCTGTTATTGCTTTTTAAATTAGTTTTCAGAAGCTGCTTTTTAATTAGAATGGGGTGGGTGTGGGTGGGTGTCAGAGTGAGAGTGAGTGTGCATTTGCTTGGAGATAAATTGCTAACTGAAGAGCAGAGGCCCTGGAAGAGTGCAAGGCATTTAAAAGATGCACCATGCAGAAGACTTTGAACAAAGCTTTTTATGTAGCTATCAGCAGGTTCCTTAATGGTTTTATAACTGTAAATGCTGTCTATGCATTACTGCGTGTGGGCGTAATGAACATTAGTTAGAAGAGAAAAATAAAAAAAGTAAACCAAGACGTTAAGTACTTTATTTTTTTAACTTTTTTTTTTTTTCTCCTGACTTTCAAACAAACCACTTTGCTGCAAACCAATGATTCTGTCATTTATTTTGCTAGGTTAATAAAAACAAGAAGTGGCGCGAGCTTGCAACAACATTGAACGTTGGCACTTCGAGCAGTGCAGCCAGCTCCCTGAAAAAACAGTACATTCAGTACCTGTTTGCCTTCGAGTGCAAGATAGAGCGAGGGGAGGAGCCCCCTCCAGAAGTCTTCAGCACTGGAGATACTAAGAAACAACCTAAGATTCAGCCGCCATCTCCTGGTAAGCAAAAAAAAATGCAGCCTCTTACACAACCATTTTTTAAACGCAGAAGATACTCACTGGGTTGCCGTTTATATCTTTACAAACATGTCTTGCTAATATTAGACAAACCGTGAGAATAAGTACATTGTTTTTAAACTTGATCTGGTTCCTGAATTGAGTCAGATTAGATATGTGACCCAGTTATATCGCTGCTCAAGATGTATCTGCCAGCATACCCTTAAGATTCAAAGAGTTACGTTGTTTTAGACAAGATGAAAGAATTCTGCAAGGATGTGCTTGTGTTGTGTGATGTGAGGCAGCCAACGCTAGGATTGTCCATTTGTCTAAAGATGAGATCCTCTTGCCTGCACACTGATTACCACGACTCTGAAGCTGCGTTTTCAGCATGGCTGTTGTTCAGTACAGCTTCAGTTGGAGGCAGGATGGCAGGTGCTGGGCTAATGAGTGGATCTCAGATGGTTGCTCTGATGTGGCTCGTGTTGAATGTATGGCAGATGGAGAGAGCTGAGAGCATGGTGTATCCCCACCGCCAGACATTGTAGTCTGGAGGCACACACACTCTTTATTCTATTGTTGTTAATCCTGTGTGCCAGATAAGTTGTTAGCATTACCATTTTCATCTTCTCTGAAACATCAAAACTGGAAATGATTAATTTTGGCTGATCTTTATGTGTACAGTGTGGTGTTTGGAACCACACAGTTTTCTTCCTAAATTAATTTAATTTAAGACTCAAAAGATTTGATAGTCATGACTGATATTCAAGGGAAAATCTTTAGCAGTGACAAATTTAAGCACTTACAAAAAGGTGTAGTAGGTATTATTCTATTACAGTGACATCTGGACTGCCCGTGGAAGAGGAAAATTTTCCTTTGATTTGCTGGTTATTAGACTTTTCTGAACATCAGAATAATTCTAATACTTACCTTCACAAGTACTGTTAGGCAGATCACCTTGTGTTAATGCCAAGAGAACATAATTCCTGGAATGTTTACAGCAGTTCCCTGTGAAAGGCAATAACAGAAAAGTATTTAATAACTTCTGTTATTTCACTTCACTGGCAGAAAATAGGAAGTTGAGAGTCAGGGACCCAGCAACCTCTCCAGGGCTTTGCAGGCTGTATTGTACTACTTTGAGATTTCCTATTGTGGATTCCAGGAAATTCAAAAACCCTTATCAGGTAAAAAAGCTTTGGCCATTTCATATGATAGTGCTTTGTCCTTTACAGAAGAAGATAAAGGTGATAACACTTAGATCTTTTTGTGTATTTTTCAGCATGAGGATTTGGGAAAGTGTTGTTAAAATCTTCCTAGCTACATTTCCTTGTGTAAATCCTTAAATAATTCCTCTCCCCCATTAGCATTTAGACTTATCAGGTACCCCAGTGCTGATTGCCTAACACTTAAGATAAGTAGATGACTTTGTAAGGCGAGTTTAGAAGATGGAGAAATACACTCAGCACAAAACGTGAAACCTGTAGTCCAAATGTTTATTGATCTGAAATGAGCATGTATGTCTAGAATATTTCCCAGTGCAAAAATTAAAAGGTGTTGTGTTTACCTGTCATTCCTGACAAGACAGTTAAGGGGCAAGAAACTGTTCAGGCTTACAAAGGAGGGTGATGAGGAAGTTCATCTCTTTCTAAAACAGCGGTTTTAGAAGCAGCAGCAGTACTGAAAATGAAAGGATGTTGTGCTTTGCGGTATCCTCCCTTGCCCATCCCCCTCCAGCACTGCTCTCAGCAGTTTGTTCAGGGACAATCGCTGTGAATCAGCTGAAGTTTGAGCTAAAGAATCCTTATTTAAATACATAGGCAGGAAACAAAGAAATACCAGATGTACCATTTTACTGAGTCCTTTGTATCAGGGCACTGCAGATGAAAATGACAAAGTCCAAGTTTAAATTTATCATAACATTCAAGGAAGCCGTCTATGAGGGGAACTGAAACTATTTTTCTAAAATAAAAACACAGCAGGACATAGAGACTAGTAGAGGAGGAAGCAAGCAAAGATCTCAAGATTTGTTTTGTTGGCTAGAAAAGAACTCGTGTCACTGAATGGACTGCACTTCTCTACAGAGAAAGGCTTTCCCAGTGTGTTTCAGCTTCAGTACATGAAATCCCGCTGAGGTATAGACGCTGCAGAGAGTACAGGCCTGTTCTCTCTAATACTCAGCTTTTTTTCTTGCTCCTTTTTCTTCAGTATATGCCAACATTAGCTGCACAAAAGAAGTAGAGTTGTGGATGTATTTTAGATAATCTGTTACTCTTGGGCATTCAGAGGAAACAGGAGCCCAATACAACAAGAAACAGTAGCCTTAGAGGGTCCTCGCTTTAACCATTCACCTCTGTTGCGCAGCTAGCTCAGCATAGGCAAAACAGCTTTGATGCCAAATCCTTGTGCAGAGAGCTAGTGGCAGTGTTACTGCTTTGGGAATTTTGGTAAAAAAAAAAAAAAAAGCAGGGAGGCTTGTCTCAGAGAGGGGCTGTAGTATTTTGTCCAGTTCTACAGCTGATGCTACAAGATCTGGGTCACAAGAGTTTAAAAACCAGCTGATCTTCATAAAATTTCTGAAAATATTTCAACTGCTCTGTGCCAACCTTCTTGGTATGGAGGAGCATCGAGTTCCTGTTTAGTGTAGATGCTCAGGAAGGTACAAGCAGAAGCACAGGGTCAGAGCAAGTTGGTTCTTGTGGATGTCCCTCATCCAAAGGGTGGCTGTGTGGCTGCCTCAGAGGTGACTCTTGGGGCATTGTAGTGCACACGCTAGAAATATAGTGTGACAACTGGAGCAGGCAGGTGCCAGCAAGGCACCTACCCCTCAAGGGAAAGATGTGATGTGCAAGTTGAACTTAGGGGACTGTGATGCAGTGGTCTGGGTTCATGTGTTAGTCCATTTTCTTGTAACACGATGGTTGGGATTTCCCATCACTACTGTCAGCAGCAAATGCACTGTGAATTTTTGGCTGCATTGTGCAGTTTGTGTGACTCTGAAAAATGCAGACTGAGGTATTTACCCTGTGCCAAAGGAGTGGGATAGGTTCTGAGGCACAGCTGGGAGGGGGGATGCTCCTGAGTAACACAGAGCTGCTGGCCCCGGTATCAGCAGAGGCTGAGTCACAATAGACCTGGAGAACATGTGCATGTTCTGGGAGGAGAGCAAGGGAGCGTTTCCTTGGCAGCAGAGAAACAAGACTTGGGGAGGGGACAGCGAGGACGCGGCACTCCACAGCCTTTTGATGGGTGCCTCTGTAACCAAACCCGTCCGTCTTGGCTGACTGACTGAAGTGCTATTCTTAGCAGACAGGTGATGTCATGCGAGCGGTGAGGCCAGCCAGGGAATCCCCACGGAAGATGGATGGGTGAGGGCTTGGAGGAGGGGGGCAGGCAGAGGCACCCCGCTCCCAACAGGAGGGGCTCTGCCATAGCCGATGCCCCCAGCCGGCCAGAGTGGGGCACTGGGTTTGTGCCGTGTAAATTACCCTCCCAGCGTGGCGGCTGGCTGCTGGGCTGGAGTGTGTGAATGTGCTTAACCCTCAGTAACCTTTCCATTGTTTACTTTAGAGTATACATTTGTAGCTTCTGGCAAAAGGTAGGCATATCCTAGAGAGCATGTCAGGCCTCATATTAATGGCGTTTCAAGAGGTTGCTGGGTTTTTTCTTTTTTTTTCCTAGAGGGAAAAAATTGCTGGCAAGAAAATGCTTCTTTTAATGTTTGGGTTTGTTTTTTTTTAATCTGCATGTTTCTGTTCTGGTAAATAAAGGGTCTTTCCTGAAAGCAGCCCGCACTGCCATGTAGGCTTTGCAAGGAAAAAAACAAGCAGTGCTGTGATTCTGTCCCTGAGTGAACGGCGTGTAGGGCTTCAGTTCTCACTGATGACCTACCTCTATTTGTGCCACTGTCTTCAATCAGACTCAGAGAACTATAACTTCACTCCTTGTTTTTTTCTCTTGGTCTTCATTACAACTGCATATGAAGTCTATAAAATAATTAATCAGCCTTTGCAGTAGCAACTGAAGAGAAAAAGGAGTGTGATTCCCATTCTGTAGATAAGAAAAACCAAGAAAAACCACCAAGACATTTAGGTCATGAATATCATTCTGAGTGACAGTTTTCTAAGTTTTGCCATGTATTGTCCTTTGTATGATCTCTCCTGTTCTGCCCAGACACAAATCAGCATTTCATACTCTCTGAAAAAGGACCACACATCTAAGAACTCTTGTAAAAAGTTTGATTTCACTCATATGCCCGGTACTGTGTAGAATTTTTTTAGAGGACCAAGAAAAAAAAAAAGAGCTTGAGAAGATCCGTCTGATTAACTTCCTTGTGATTGGCTGAAACGCTGCAAAGCTTTAAGTAACTGAAAATGACATCCCACAAGGAAAAGAGTTACGTTACTTAAAAAATGATATCTGCTCTACCAGTAGTAAACATTTCAAGTATGCACTTAGATTATTCTTCCTCAAGGATGTGCTTTTTCCACTGACACTAATATTGGAATTAACTACTCAGTGAGCTATGAGCATATGACATGGATAGATATATATATCCACAGTTGGGCTCTTCTTGGTGGCTGATGACCTAATCCTGAGGTTGAAACATTTGCAGTCCCTTCTCTATAGGAGTGTGCCTCACCCAGCAAAGGCCTAGAGCAAAGTTCATTAACTAAACAGTATCAGAAACTTTGCACTTTTTATAAATAGTATTTGCCTTCGATTTTTCATACGTTTGTTAGCAGTCATTTAGAAAAGTATCAGGGTAGTGTGGAACAACTATAACTACCACCAAGCAGATGGAAATGTAGCTTGCAGGTTCTCAGTTGGATATCTTCTTTTCATTCTTAAAACTTTCCTTGTAAAAAAGGCATCTAAAAATAATGTTATGTGTAAGAAAGATTCTGAATATTTACGCAGCCCATTAATAGTGAAAAGTATTTTACTTGTTTTATTTAGATTTACTTTAGATATGAATTTATTTCTTTGCTCAGGTAGAATAGGGAAGAACTTAATTGCTGCTTAAAAGCCGATCCTCAGAGAAATGTGCAGGGTGATGCAATATCATTTTTTACTGTAACTATATGGGTAAAGTAAGATGTTTGCTCACATGGTTCTGATATAACAAGATGATGGCGTGTGACAACTCAGAAATGCTTTCAAGCTTTTTAGAAGTAATCTAGCATTGTGTTTAAAGTGCAGCAGACCTTAGAATACAAAAAGGCAGGAAAATGATCCTGTCTCACCCAGGGGTCTTATATACAAAAGGCTCATTTTACATAAACATGATGATTTTCTTTATTATTTTACATATATGTTTTATTACGGCACTAAAGCCCTCAGTCAGCTGTAGCCTTAACTGTTGCACGTTGTGGTAACTGTATTAATGCTATCAGAGAGCTTTTCTTGATGTTTTTTTGAACCTCATTACAAGGTGAATATAATCCAAACACACCTTAGAAAGGTGAGGACAGGAGCAACATGGTCTACAAAATGTGCATTTTACGTATGCTCTTGCTACTGAGACTGATTTCCAATAGTGGAACATGTGTTACAGATATAAATGAAACACATAAAAAGTGTGTTCTTCAGTTAAAAACAAGCTCTGCCTGTCAGGGTGATGTGTGTTCTAGGATTCTGAGTCAATTATAAACTACTCTCTCTTTCAAATAGAGAAGAACAGCATATGCTGCTGCTTCCAGTTTTTCTTCTAACAGTAATTTATAAAGTTTTGTTAATTAGTTGTTGGATGACAATAGACAGGCACTTAAAAATGCTCGCATGAAGGTTTGTAGAATCAAAAACACCTCTCAAGCCATTGCCATGTCTTTCTAAGTTTATTAGGTTTGTGATTTTTTCTGTTTGAAAATAGCATCCAAAGACTTGATCGTACACTTTCTTGGGAAGAATTCCTGCTTCAAACACCAAAGCAGACATTGCAGTCTGATACAAAGCTTAGGCACTGTTACTGATGCCCATCTATCACCTTCTGAATCAGAAAAAATGCCACATCATATGTTGGAGGAGGACTTTCTCAGTATTTGTATGAAAATAGAAACTGCACTGTCTACTTTAAAAGACTGTTCTGAATGTAATTTATCATTAGCTTATGTGATATATTCATTTAATGTCCTTATTACTGCTTAGTCTCTTTAGAGTAGAACATTACATGCTTCTCTCCATTTATCGTCACATCAAAAATGTAGCTATTTCCAGCTTGGGATATTCTGTGATTCTGTTCGCCATGGTTAAGGAGGCCAGTAGTGCATGTGCTCTACTGCTGTCTGAGATCTCAGCATAAAAATTTTTGCAGAATTGACCTGATCTTGTTACACGTGCTCTACAGTGATCCTAGCTGCATTTTGTTAAGTTGTCCATTGCTATTTTTACAATGTTCTGCTTTCTTCTTACCCCGTAATGGCCCTCTAAATTTCTTGAATTCAATCTTTTGCCACATTGTCTCAAAGATGGCATAGGGTTGCAGTGTGCCCCTAACTAGTAGCCATGTTTCATCTCAGAAATGCTTGCCTTTTAGTGGTAAAATAGATTATGTTCTTATATTAATACAGTGGTTTAAATTTGTAGAAAAAGCTTCTGGTTGAAATTTGCTTTATAAATATCTGTGTTGTGGTAGTGATCATATATATAAAGAAGCTGTGCCGAAGAACAACTTTCATCTACTCTGTTGTAAACTATAGACAATTAACTTTGTACCTCTGACCTCTCATTTAAATGATCCTTCATCTAGATGATTTCTATTCATGTTGCTTCAGGCAGCGATTTAAATTTGTGGCTCTAGGAAAGATGATGGCTATTACCTCATAGCATATCCTGGTCTCAGAGGATTTTATGGAACTTACAAAGTAGAGATGCATGGTATAAGCAGGCCAATGGGGGAAACAGCCAGTTTCTCTCACTGATTATTATTATTTCTGCAATAATTTGGTTACTACCTTCTAATATTTCGTTTTTCTTTAATCTTCCAGCTAATTCTGGTTCCTTGCAAGGCCCACAGACTCCACAGTCTACTGGCAGTAATTCCATGACAGAAGTGCCAGGCGATTTGAAGCCTCCAACACCAGCATCAACACCTCATGGACAGATGACACCTATGCAGGGTGGCAGGTATGAAATAGGCTTTGCTTCATTTTCTCTTATGCTGTTATTCTATAGCAGTTAAAGTTAGTTTTTCTCAACTATACAGGCACACATCTGATTCTGTGTTGAGCCAACCCAACCTTAGGAGTGGCAAAAAAACATCTCTTTCTGGAGGGAAGAGAAGGAAAGGGAGGAAGGATTAGGATCTGCATTATCAGAGAAGGATCAAACAAGCAGTAGTGCAAGCTAGAGCGTGTGAATATGTGAAGATTGGGGTGGGAGGTTGAAACCAGTAGCATCATCTTAGAACCTTATATATGTAGGTTTCTTTCCTGGGTGCACAGATTCAGAGTATTATCAAAAAAGTATTATAGTAACAGTGAGATAACAGAGAATTCAGCTGGATGGACCAAGAGATCCCTTTCAGAAATGATATTAGGAAGGTAAATCAAGTAGCTGTTTAGTCTTTAGGAGGAATATATGAAACAGATAAAAAATAATACTAATTTGACGCAGCATATGAAGCTTGTGTGTTTGTGAGGAACACAGCTTTGTGAAATTTCAAAAAAGTTTAGACTTTTACATGGCTAATAGGAGCATGCACAGTTAAGTGAAAAACCCCTGTCATTCAAGTAAGTTATCCTGATAAGCTTGGAGAAAAAAAAGTTAGATTTTTTAATGATTGTGAAAGTTGTTTGCTTCTTCCTCAGATGTATCCTGTGGTGATCACTGACAAACGCAGCAGTGTTTTGTAGGCTGGTCTGTTTTCACATTTCTTGTGAATACACGATGATGTTAATGCCTCCTTTTTCTCATCTGCTAGAAACAGCGCAGTTAGTGTGCATGATCCCTTTTCTGATGTAAGTGATTCAGCATTCCCGAAGCGAAACTCCATGACGCCAAATGCACCGTACCAGCAGGGAATAAACATGCCAGATATGATGGGAAGGATGCCATACGAGCCGAATAAAGATCCTTTTGGTGGAATGAGAAAAGGTATTTTCTTTGTGGCGTCTTCTTCCCTACTCACATAAATGTTATCAGGGCACTCTAGTCAGCAGAATGAGCTGCATGTCCAGCTGATTCTGCTGTTGGCAAAACAGCTACATTCTTGTAGCAAAAAGGCAGATCCAGTGCAATTGTTCAATTCTGGTCATATTTTCCCTTCTCAGGGTCATGCTGTGTATTTTAGACTTAACTGTTTCCTAAACCTGCTTATAGGAACAAATTTCAGGAATGATGGCATAAATTCCTAGGGATGGATTTTATGCAATGCAGTATGCTTTATGAATGTGGGTAGCAACTCTGCCTATCAGATGCTGGACTTCGATGCTAGAAGAAGCTGTGAAGAAACAGGCCTGATTGTGGTACAGCTGGACACTGTGTGCAACTGAGCAAATCTCCTAATGCTGTCGTAATTTACATATTTTTCAGCATAGGAAAACTTACTCTGTTCTCATTTGGACAACCCCTGACAATAGGTGATAAACACACTATTTTTAGAAAGCAAAAACCAAAACTAATGTCAAGCCTGACTCTTGTCCCTTGGGACATTTAACTTACAGATGTTTGTGTGGATATTGTAAAATGTGCTTAAAGTGAATCAGTCTTGTATACCATGTACATAGGAAAGTGGGAAGTCAGAATATAAGTAGGACTCACACTGGCTGCAAAGAGAAGAGCAGATGAAGGAGGTGGAATTAAGAAGTGGAAATTGAAGGAGAGCAAAAGAGAGAAACAAGAAGAAGAGGTCCAGAAATCAAAGGAAGAGGGAACCAGACCAGACCAAACTAGACTAGACTAGACTATAACAGTTCAGTTGGAAGGGACTAACCAAGATCAAGGTGCCTCATATGTGTTGCAATGAGGAGATAGCTAGCTATCCTGATACAATTTTTTCAAACCTTTCCTTTAAATTATGTTACCTGAACTGTAGTCACTAGTAAAACACATTTGGAATAAGGGGAAGGTCTCTCTGTCTTAGATTAATTTTAATTATTGTATCCACATGAGATTAAGTGGGTTTATTGCACTTTGTCATACGTATCATATTTACCTTCAGTCGAAACAGAAATGTCTGTCTGTTTAGTATCTACAAGAAAGGACTAAAGGATAGAGTCACTTCCTCTGTCTGTTTTGGGGATTTATATGAAATATAGTACTACATGTGCCTTTTCTTGGACCTTTAGAATATACCCATCCTGCTCAAGAAGCTACTTTAGGATACAATAGCCTTTCTGTAAGCAAGTCTATGTATATATATATATGAGAGCTTTATAGGAAAAAAGAAGAGCCTGATTCCTGCAGCTTTATAATCCAAACTATGAAATTTATCTGTTCTGTAAGGTTTATGTTTGAATTCATATTTAGCATTCTTGGGGGTGAAAAGAGCAAGAGCAAGTTCATCTTCAGCCATAAAGACCTCAGGGAAGAAGCTGCCTCAGTGCCTGATGAGCTTGGTTTGGTATGATAAGATTATTCTCTTCACTTGCAGCTCCTATATATTATTATAACCATCATCTTAGTAGTGGTAGTACTTCATGAGTTTTCATCAGGCCCTGGAGAGCTTGTCAGACACCAGCTAATTCTCCTTGGCAGTGTTAGAAATCTGAACATTATTTTAAAATATATCATTTAATAGAAAGATATCTTCAAACCCCCAGAATAATATATTTAATTTCCTTTACTGTTGTAGTGCCTGGAAGCAACGAGCCTTTCATGACCCCTGGACAAATGCCTAACAGTGGAATACAGGAAATGTATAACCAGAATCCATCTGGAGCCATGTCCAACATGAGCATGAGCCAGCGACAGCAGTTCTCTTATGGAAGTGGCTATGACAGGAGGTGAGTTTTTCTTCAGGAAAAAGCAAAGACCGTTAGTGAAAGCCATCATCTCCCCTCTCATTTTCCCATCTCACATTGCAGAGAACGTGGCAGCCTGTATTTCCTACAGCATTGTACTAAGTCACTGGAAGTTAAACCGTTGGTAATGACTGCATCTAGCTGTTCACAGGAATTAATGAGGAGGAATTGTTAGACTTTCTAAATCACTCAAGCTGCAGCAGATCAGCAAGTGGATATGTTTGACAGCTGCCTTCAGCTGGCTGTTGTGTTGGGCTGTGATGGCAGAAAGTAGCACTGGAGTATTCTTGCCATGTTTTCACCTAAACAGTTGTTGGTGGGCTTTTTCTGAAAAACAAAATGCACAGCCTGTGTTTGGTTTGTGGTCTGTTAGTGAATTGTCTTTAGAGATTCTGGAGTCTGTTGTCTGAGGGGCAGTAGTATTTCAGTGTATCTGTCAGGACCCTCATAAGTTTGCTTTCAGTGAAGTAAGCAAAAATAAATTTGGTTCTCTTTGTTTATCCCAGGAAAGCCTTTGGAATAATAAAAAAAAAAAAAAAGAAAGAATGAAACATCTGACAACTGAACACTGTTATAGCAAGCAGAGATGTTGGAGAATGTTTGGATTATATTAAGTATTAGAGTAGCTTTTGCAGCTCTGGCAATGTTCCCACTTTTACTTTCATTAGCTTGTGTACCCTAGCTTCCCTTTTTGTTTCCTTGTGGCAGCCAAAGTTACGCAGTGTGAGTCTTTCAAGTGCAGCAGAGGAACAAAGTTTTTTCTCATAGTTTGAAGTAGTAGGTATGTGGAGTAACACAACTGTAATGCTGCTCAACAGGTCATGTGCTGGGAAGTCTGATTAAAGTGGAAGATGATAAGTCAAGAGAGTATTTTCTTTAAGGGATATGATTTTGGAGAATAAGTACTTTTTACAGAATGGGGTTTCCTTTGTCATTTTTTAGGTCGGATCATGGGCTGGGTCCTGAAGGCAGTATGGGACCACCTGGTCAAAGCAACATGGTGCCTTCAAACAGTGACCCAAGCATGTACTCTCCTAATCGTTACCCTGGCCAGCAAAGGTGAACATTGATTTCTCTGTTTGTAATATCTTCAATAACCAGCTAATGAGTGCTAGCAGACTCTATGAGGGCACATAGAATATGCAACTTCTTGGTGTTGCTTATGCTTTGCCTGCTCTGATTTAGGTTTTTACCATCGGTTCAGTTTCTGGAGTGTAACAGGATTGGGAAAATTGGTTGACTTTGTGTAGCTATAGAATCATAGATGTTAAAAAAGGAGCATGCATACTGCCTTGTGTATCTCCTTGCCAACACTGAACTGAATGTACAGGCCAAAGTTCTTTCAGGGCAGCATTGAATGACACGTATTCTGAAGCTTCCACAGTTTCTTTTGGATTGTGGTTATCCTGTACCTAACCAAACTAACATTCAGAAAGTTTCCTTGTATATATATATAGTACAGGTACCTTAGCCCAGTTTCATCTAATTATACATCCAATCTTAGATGAGTGTAAGCAATTCCTTTCGGTTATATGGTTCGTTTAACTGGTATTTTCATCTGCATCAACGTTTTAGGAGATACTGAAAAACTATTGCTTTACTCTCATCAAGGCATAAAAATACGTGTATTTTCTCTGCTTTTGAAAAAGCCATGTCTCATCAGTTCATTTAACACATCGGGTTCTCTAATCCTGTTTTGTTTCTCAGACTGTCTGTGATATATTATTCCCATTCTTATATTCAAATAGGTAAGTTCTTACTGGTTATGTACAGAGTGTAATTACTCATGTACTGGTCTGCAAGACAGTGTTAATGTTTTAGTCTTAATACTTTCCAAGTACTTCATTTCCACAAACAAAATTTCATTCAGATGTGCTAAAAATACTGCAGTTGCACTGCAGTGCCCCTCAGAGGTCATAAGAGGCCACAGGTAAGTTTCCAAGTGCAGCTCAGCTCTGCCTCTTGTGTATGTGACATTATGTAGCTTTAGTTAAAAATTACATGACTGTACATGATTGATTACAAAATTGTAAGAGCACTGTTTGTACTCAGTAAAGATGTGTTTAAATGCTACATACCCTAGCACATACCACCATTTAGAATCTTAGAATTTCTCTTCAAATTAGCAGTTAGGTATTGATTGAGTACTTAACCTATATACCTATATATTTATTACATTCTTAATCCAGAAAGTAGTCTTCTTGGAAACCTGTGCTGTAAAAAACAAGAATCTTGACATGCTCAACCTTTGAGCTATATACATCAGGAATTTATCCTGCTATGACTGGTTCCTAGTGTCACTGCAGCTGCCTTTCTTACCTCTTTGCTGACCGTACACTATTCCCATTTCTAACGCTACTCCTAAATCTCTCCCCTGCATCTTCATTGCTTCTTTCCTTCTATCTGCTTTGCTTTCCTCCTTCCACTGCTCCAGCAGAGCTTACTGTATTAGTCTCTGGACCATCCCACGCCATGTCTTCACCACGATTCCAAATGACGAGTGTCTTCAAGGTGCAAGATCATGAGAGCAGTGTCCTTTCTCTGGTATCTTAAAAACTCCAGCAGCTCTAAGTGTTGATTTGAATGCTTCGTTTTAGGCATGAACCATATGGGCAGCAGTATCCAGGACAAGGACCTCCCTCAGGACAGCCACCGTATGGAGGACATCAACCTGGAATGTATCCACAGCAGCAGGTAGGAGAAGGGAAAACAGCTACATTCATAATATTTTTTTAATAAATGCCGCTCAAAAATTCTGTATACACTCAAAACTTTGTTGATGGAATGTGTGTCTTTTGGCACAGAGGAGCACTGTAGTTCAGGTCAGAATCGCAGCCCATAAGGATAAGCAGCACATATACAGCTATAGGAGGTTATTTCTTTACACCTGGAAGGGCATAAATTTTAACAGAAGTTCTAGAAGTTTTGTGGCTTTGAATGTGTATCAAGTGAATGTCCCAGGCTAATGATCAGCAGAGTGGGAAAGTATAATTAATAGGCTAGTGGAGTGATGCTGCCTCACTTTCAGAGGCAGCAAATTGGAAAGTATTGCTTGACTGGCAGATTGACTCAAATTATGTCAAGTAGCCAAGTGAACCAGCAGAAAACTAGAACAGAGTAAAACATGCAGTACTGCCAGTTACTTAGAATGCTGTGGTGGGTCACCTGAGTTACTCTTTAATATATATCTTTAATATATATCTTTAATATATATCTTTTATATATAGCAGATGGCATTTTCGCTGTATCTTGTCTCTAGTAATATGTTACAAATACACAAGAAAAATGTTTTGGTGTTAGTAATAGTTTAAACACTTGTACATTTCAATCTCTGTTTATAAAATCTTTGTAAATACAAATGATACTAATTAAGGTTTTTGTAAGATGTATCATTACTGCTTTGTGGGCAAAATAACATCTTGTAAGTTAATGACAAAACTCAGATGACTTCAACAAGGTTTTAGTTTCATTCTGCATGTTATGAAGTCAGTTCTAGTCACAGAATAATTACAGCTAGCTTCCAAAATAGAAAGCATTTCCTTGTGATACAGTTATCAAAATGCACTTGTTTTCAGCTACTTACAGGTAGTCCTTTTCTGTCTGGGTTAGTGTTTCACTTCTCTGAGCCAGTGGTCAGCTGCTGGAATGGACTTCCCAGAGAGGTGGTGGGATCACCACCCCTGGAGGTGTTCAAGAAACATTTAGATGTTGTACTGAGGGGTGTGGTTTAGTGGAAAATATTGGTGACAAGGAGGATGGTTGGACTGTGGATGATCTTAGGGCCTTTTTCCAAGCTTGGTGATACTATGATTCACTAGGAAATTCAGACTTAAAAAAAAGAAAAAAGAAAAAAAAATGGAGATCTTAGGTTACATCGTACTAAAAATGTTTACAAAGTTTGATTTCTTGCCTATCTCTTTATTTCATAGAATCTCTGAAATAGTGTAATCAAAAAACTTTTGTTGCTCTTTATTGTGAACATATATGAGCAGCCAAGGTGATTTAGTGGGGAAATTGCAAAGATGCATAATAGAAGAGTTAGTGATACTCCATGCTAAAATATGTAGGTTGTATGCGAACTAATTTGTTAAAGGAAAGATTCAACCAGAATTTGTGAAAGGATACATTGGGCCCTGTCTCTGTTGCTGTTTATATGCTTTGTATAATGGCTCTTGAATGCATAATGCATTCAAGCACGAATGCAAAAAAACATAGAAGAGTGAAGGGTGAGAATCCTGACCTTGCCCCCCTCCCCCCCAGAGGGGGCTCCCACACCCTGAGCATTCCCCTTTTTGACCTAGCTAAAGACCAGGTTGCTCCCACAATATTCTTTCAATTTCCTAGGTTCAAGAAGAATGTGAAAAATAACCCTTTCAGAGTTTTATCCATAGCCTGAAGGCTAGGGAATGGCAGGGAAGAAGGTGCTTTGTGCATGAACCCCTGGGGCTAGCAAAGTACTTTGAGCCAGTTTTTCAGTTCTTGTATGAATGCACACAGGCTGAGAGTTGTTATACGGCAGGTTACCAGTGTTAGTGTATTTTTTTCTTCTGCGAGGTCTCACAACTCCCCTTTCCCAGTGGAGAGACACACATTGTGCAGCCTTGGTCACCTGCTGAACCCTCACACAGGAGTAGGAATTGAGGTGCATCACTGTCCTCAGCACTTGGTTGCCATTAAGCATCTTGCCGCTGCATAAACACAGCTCTGATCTGCCTTTAAAAAGGCACTTGCTTCATTCCCGGGTGTCTGCTTTAAGCCTGTGGAATCACTGTAGCAAAAAAAGCACCTTCTTTTTAGGTGTGGCAACTACTGAGTCAGTTCTTAATGTATAAATTGGCCCAAAGCGTGAGATTTACCACAGCAAGTTGTTTATGTAAGACTGAAAATAGGTTTTTCTTAGGTAGACAGGCAGCTCTATAGCAAGTTAAAAATACATATACTTTCAAGCAATTCAGCAGTTGCAGTTTTATGTGCACCAAATTTGGAAGATGAGTTTATGAATCCCAGAGCTGTTTTAACTGACCCATATAGAATACATACAGAATTTTATCTATATGTAGATATAGATACCATGGGAACCGTAACTTTGAATTTACCACACATCATATATTCAGAAATTGCCAATTTAATTCAAACGTTTTTTGCTTGAGAGCATTTGAGGTAGTTTGAACTGTGCATCAGACTCCCTGAAGATCTAAGGACCCCTGCAAACTTTACCACTTACTTTCTCCTCAAAACACAACCCATCTTTTTTGTCTTGCTGTCTTAAATGCCGACAAGTTGTATGATTTATTCACAGCCCAACTCCCCTGACTATATAACAACTTACCTCACACAGCATTCCCCAATTGAGAGGGTGAAAAACAAGAGGGGAATGTTGCTTCATTCATTACTGATCAGCAGTGTAAGAACCTGCATAAGTCAGAGTAGAACATTTCGATGTGAGCAGTTGCTACAGTAATCTCGCAATAAATTCAGTGTGTTTAGGATGATTTCGGAAGGAGGGCTGGTTGCCCAAGCAGGTGTGTTTCAGAGGATTATGTGGAGTAACAAAGGCAGGGGAATGTTTTCTCCCATTGGTAAATATATTGTGTGTCTATTACGCACTGTCATAATATCCAGCATTCAGACATACATGCTTGCAACGTATTTTGTTATTTTAAGAGTTCACTCAGTGTTTGTCCCTTTAAGAGATAAAGTCATTGAGTAGTTTTGACTTTTTTTTAAATCTGTCTTCTTAGCAGACTGAGCATAAAAAAGGAATGAAAGTATCTTGTTGGTGAGGACTGTTGCCTTTTCATGCATGTCTTAAGTGGCCAATGGAATTTCTTCTGACAGACAGAATAGGAAAGGGAAAGGAGGGAACACAAGAGCAAGCATAAAAAAATTCAGCCCAAGGATAAGTTTCCTTTTCAAATTAAGTTATAAATGCAGCACAACAGAGGCTAAAATAGAAAGCCTCGATCACAGCAATGTGTGCCTGACTGGAATCAGCACAAGCCCTCCAGAGCTAGGAGCCTTCAGCTTTTTAATGAGCTTGCAGCCAATCGCTATTATTGTGTATGTAGTAAAAGTGACAAATTTTATTTCTGATTTTTCTTTTCAGAACTACAAGCGACACATGGACGGCATGTATGGGCCTCCAGCCAAGCGCCATGAAGGGGATATGTATAACATGCAGTATGGCAACCAGCAACAAGAAATGTATAACCAGTACAGCAATGCTTACTCTGGGCCTGATAGGAGGCCTATGCAGGGACAGTATCCGTATCCGTATAACAGGGAGAGGATGCAGGGCCCAGGACAAATGCAGCAGCATGGAATACCTCCCCAAATGATTGGTGGCCCCATGCAGTCATCATCCTCCACTGAAGGTCCTCAGCAGAACATGTGGCCAACACGAAATGATATGCCTTACCCTTACCAGAATAGGCAAGGTCCAGGAGGCCCTGCACAGGCCCCACCGTATCCAGGGATGAATCGCACTGATGATATGATGGTACCTGACCAGAGGATAAACCACGAGAGTCAGTGGCCTTCTCATGTCAACCAACGTCAGCCTTCTTATATGTCATCCTCAGCCTCCATGCAGCCTATCACTCGGCCTCCTCAGTCATCCTACCAGACACCACCCTCTATGCCAAATCACATCTCTAGAGCTCCGAGTCCAGCATCCTTCCAGCGCTCTTTGGAAAACCGTATGTCTCCAAGCAAGTCTCCTTTCCTACCCTCCATGAAGATGCAAAAGGTTATACCCACAGTTCCAGTGTCACAGGTCACAGGACCTCCACCCCAACCACCACCGATTAGGCGAGAAATCACCTTCCCCCCAGGCTCCGTAGAAGCATCGCAACCAGTCTTAAAACCAAGACGAAAGATTACCTCAAAAGATATTGGTAAGTATAAAAACAAATGCCAAAACAAGTTGGGAGAAAGGAACTTTGGTTTTTCTGTTTTCTTTTACATGTTAAGACTGCTTTGACAAGTAATTAACTTTGGTAACTATTATGTGTTCACTAAAAATGTAGTAGCAAAAGTACCAGTGTGGATGACAAATCTTATACGAGCAAGTTCAACGTTATATGAAATCAGTTTTCTATATGGAGACCTGAGTTCTCAAAAAGTATAACATCACATTAAAAATAAAGCTTGTCTCGGGCTTCCAAATGCTATTTGTTGAAAGATCCATCAGAATATCTGTTAAATCACTGGTGCAACATTTAGGTAAGCAAAGATTTTCACACTCTCATTCCATGGAAGCTCACAACAGAGTTATTGGCTCTGTGTCCTTACAGCGTCTGCCTTACTTGAGTAGCCCATTTTTTCGGGCCACATTATTTGTCACTTTTGTTTCTCTCCAAATTCTTTCCTAAGTATCTTATCTTGAATTCCCGTTACATTTCACACATTCAAGGTCCCATACCTCAGGTTCCCATATTCATGGCTTGTACTACATTGTACTTGTATTTATGTACTGTTTGTTATAGCCAGCTTCTCAGAAGTTTGTAAGATGATTTCTTCTGCAAGATCAGGAAGAATGGCCCATTAAAATGCTCTCCAGAATTAGCACTAAGTAAGAGTTACAGAAAAGCATAACAGGGCTAAGCAGCGAAACCAGGGCCTTAAGCAGTGTTTCAGTAACTATTCAGTAACTATTTCCTGTATATTTTGCATCCTCAGAATGTCGCAGTTTATTCTTTCAAAACTTACCAAGTTTTCAATGCTCAAAGGTTGCACTAATGCTGTTTTATGCTTATCCTTTCTTTCTCCAGTAACTCCTGAGGCCTGGAGAGTGATGATGTCTCTTAAATCTGGTCTTTTGGCTGAAAGTACCTGGGCGCTAGACACTATTAATATTCTTCTATATGATGATAGCACTGTCGCTACGTTCAACCTCTCTCAGGTAGGTGGGAAAGCATTACAGCTCTAAACTTTCCAAGGAAAGAAAATGCTAATAAGATAGATATGAAAATGCTGAAGTCTCTTAAAATATATTAACATAAGTCAGAATACAGCAAAACTTCAATTTATAATGATTGATAACAGTGAGTAGCAAAATGTACTTGAGGGTGGAATCGGGGAAATAGTAAGCTTAAAAGGAAAGCATCTTTTGTGGAAAGGGATACATGGGAATGTAAGAATTTTAACACTGGCAAAAGACTAATGTGTAAACTCAGATTTGTTGTTGAATGAGGATAATCCCAGAAAATAGCAGCATGTTAGTAATTTTGTCTAAAAGAAGATTCAGAAAAAATTATTGGAGAATGATGTTAGATTTGAGACTGTCTTTCAGTTGCTGTCTGTCTTATTCATTAGTCCTATGCTAGGCTGTGAGATACTTTGTTGGGTTTTTTGTTCCTTTTTCCCACAAAGTAAGCTTGTACAAAAATACTAGGTTTATCGAACAGTTAAAAGGCTAAAATCCACTGTCTGTCCACAGGTTAGTTACATACGATTTAACAGTGTATGCTTTTGCCTCTCTTCCTCCCAGCATTTTTCAACTCTGCTCTACCTATCAGCCTGTTAGGTGGTTGTTATAGATGGCGTGTTGGTAATGCACATAATCTAAAATTTGTGCAGTTTCTCTGCTCCACTCATTCCCTGGCTACTAACAGTATAACTCATCTGTTTTAAAATATAATGACCTTTTTTAAAAAAAATACAGACACAGATGATACATTTCATCCCACCTAACTTTAGAACTAGGGATATCTGTAGCATAATTCATCTCATCCTACAATAGAGATCTAAAGTAGGTCAGATGAATCATAGCCCAGAAATGGCCTCTAAAAGATCGTTGATTATAAAAAGAATCTAGACAATTAGGTTTGTAACTGTTGCAGGTGTTTGGAGTTAAGGGAGATGAGTCTCCTCTGAATTCTGTTAGAGTCTGCACTAATACACCTTGTGCAAATTGCACAGAATATCAGATTATTTTAGATTTTGGAGGTTGCTTTTGCCTTGAACTTGATTTCCAGTGTCAGTCAGGACTCCATATGATGATTGATAATTCCTGCAGTTTATAAGCGCCTGTTCGTTCTCATTTCTTTGGGATTTTTGGCAATGGTAAGAATACAGAATGGGCGAAAGGATACGTTTTGCTAAACACCTATTAACCCAAAATTAAAACAACTATTAAAAGGCAGGCAATTGGGCTGAATGTATCATAGCAGTAAAGAATTTTTAATAATAAAGCCACTGAGGGTAAATTAGTACCGAGTCAAATACTGCCTTTCCATGAGAAAGTGATAACAAGTTAATTAAGAGGATTAAAGCTAAATGAAAACTGTTTCTGAAGGATAACTTGCACCACCAGGCTCCAGTGACAATTGTTAAATATTGCCAGGCAAAAAGAGAGCCATGCCAATAGAGATGGGTTATTAATCTGGAGTATTAGTGCCTTGAACCTGAACTGCAGATTCTAACGGAACAGTTGATTTTAGAGACTGAGAGACAAAGGAAGAGCTGAAGAATTCTCAACTTCCAGAATATAATAAATATACAATTCAGAAAAGCAAAGAGGGTTAGAAACTCTGAAGAGACAATAAATTATATTAGGCATTTCCCAGGATGGAACAACTAGGCTAACTGGTAGCTGAGGTGCTAGTGCATATGAATAAAAGTACTGTGCTTTTCATACCTGTTACTACTTAAACAAATGGAATCATGATGTTCTGGTGTTACATACTGGATGGACAGAAACTAGAAAAATTTCATTTGATTAACTTCTGCTATACAGGACCTAGCCACAAGTCCACAGCAAAAGGAAGGAAGTTGTACATTTCCATATGAAATTCTATGCAGTCAAAAATATTTGGTTTTTTATGTTGTTGTTTGTTTGTTTGTTTTTTTCTCCCCTTAGTTGTCTGGATTTCTTGAGCTTTTAGTAGAATATTTTAGAAAATGCCTGATTGACATTTTTGGAATCCTTATGGAATATGAAGTGGGAGATCCAGGTCACAAAGCACTTGATCACAAATCAGCCAAGAAAGATGATAGCCAGTCCTTGGCAGAGGCTACTGGAAAAGAGGAGAACGACGAATGTATTGACTGTTTCGATGAAGAGGAGGAGGAGGGGGATGATGAAAACGTAGAAGGAGAAGAAAAGAGCATTGTTTTTTCCACTCCTGGTGCCATTGCTGATCCAAGCGAAAGGCCAAAACAAGCCAGTAAATTTGACAAGCTGCCAATAAAGATTGTAAAGAAAAATAATCTATTTGTTGTTGATCGATCTGACAAACTTGGACGTGTGCAGGAATTTGATAGTGGACTTCTCCACTGGCAGCTTGGTGGTGGTGACACAACTGAGCATATCCAGACTCACTTCGAAAGCAAGATGGAGATTCCTCCACGCAGGAAAGCCCCTCCTCCCTCAAACTCTCCAAGCAAAAAGAAAGACCTCGAGGGGAAAGGTGAATTTGAGGAACAACAAGAAAAAAGTATAACGGCAACCATTGATGATGTCCTCTCAGCTCGGCCAGGAGCATTGCCAGAAGACTCAAACTCTGGTTCCCAAACAGAGAGCAGTAAATTTCCCTTTGGGATCCATCAAGCCAAAAGCCACCGGAATATTAAACTGCTAGAGGATGAGCCAAGGAGCCGGGATGAGACTCCTCTATGCACCATAACTCACTGGCAAGACTCCTTGGCCAAACGTTGCATCTGTGTGTCAAACATCGTCCGTAGCTTGTCTTTTGTGCCTGGCAACGACACCGAAATGTCCAAACATCCAGGCTTGGTGCTGATCCTGGGAAAGCTGATCCTTCTTCACCATGAGCATCCAGAAAGAAAGCGAGCGCCGCAGACTTATGAGAAGGAGGAAGAGGAGGACAAAGGGGTGGCCTGCAGCAAGGATGAGTGGTGGTGGGACTGCCTCGAGGTCTTGAGGGATAATACATTGGTCACATTAGCCAACATTTCTGGGCAGCTAGACTTGTCTGCTTACACAGAAAGCATCTGTTTGCCAATTTTGGATGGCTTGCTGCACTGGATGGTGTGCCCATCTGCAGAGGCACAGGATCCTTTTCCAACCGTGGGGCCCAACTCAGTTCTTTCGCCTCAGAGACTTGTGCTGGAGACCCTGTGTAAGCTCAGTATCCAGGACAATAATGTGGACCTTATCTTGGCCACCCCCCCATTCAGTCGTCAGGAGAAACTCTACGCTACTTTAGTTAGGTACGTTGGAGACCGCAAAAACCCGGTCTGCCGAGAAATGTCCATGGCGCTCTTATCGAACCTTGCCCAGGGGGACACATTAGCAGCAAGGGCAATAGCTGTGCAGAAGGGAAGCATCGGAAACTTGATAAGCTTCCTGGAGGATGGGGTCACTATGGCCCAGTACCAGCAGAGCCAGCATAACCTCATGCACATGCAGCCTCCGCCTCTGGAGCCACCTAGCGTAGACATGATGTGCAGGGCAGCCAAGGCCTTGCTGGCCATGGCTAGAGTGGACGAGAACCGCTCAGAGTTCCTTTTGCACGAGGGTCGTTTGCTGGATATCTCAATATCTGCTGTCCTGAACTCTCTGGTTGCATCTGTCATCTGTGATGTACTTTTTCAGATTGGGCAGTTATGACATAAGTGAGAAGCCAAGCATGTGTGAGTGGAGATTAGAGGGTCACATATAACTGGCTGTTTTCTGTTCTTGTTTATCCAACGTAGGAAGAAGGTTAAAAAAAAAAAAAAAAAGAATCTTTGCTCCTCTGCCCCATTCACTATTTACCAATTGGGATTTAAAGAAATTATTAATTTGAACAGTTACGAAATTAATATTTGCTGTCTATGTGTATAAGTACATCTTTTTATTTTATTTTTTTTTAACCAAAGTTGCTGTCTAGTACATTCAAAGGTCACACTTTTTTTTTTTTTTTTTTTTTTTCCATAGATTATCCTTTTCAATGTTCTTTTCCATGTTTGTATTGCATATTTTTTGGGAAGCGAACTAGTGACTTTTAAAAAAAAATGTTACAGCAAACCATTGTATGATGGAAAGAATCTCACCACTTTGAAACAAAAAGGTGAAAAGTAACCAACGTACCAAGTTCCTGTGTGTTTTATTTTTTCAAATAAGGAAAAAATTTAAAAAAACTTGTATACCATCACCCAAAGCTCTGTGCAATAGAAGATTCTAGTGATGTAGGTGTAGGGGATCAAGGAGGGTGTCAGTCAGTAGTCAGAATACAAAACGATACTGGTTTCTCCTCTGGAGAAATGGTAACATTAGGCTAGGAGCAAAACAAAACAAAAAGTTCAAGTTGAAAGATTTTGAAACAAAACCTAATGATAAACATCAATTGCTTCCTCACCAGAACTGTCTTGTCTACATCTGGTTTTTTTTTTTTGACCTTCCACAATGACAGTTCTTCACAATTCCTTTAATCATTTTTTAAAATATTTTTTTATTGCCTAAGGGCCGTGATGTATATAGAAGTTGTACATTAAACATACCCTCTTTTTTTTTTTTTTTTTTTTTTTTTTTTAAGTACGAAGTTTTTTGTTTCTTTTTCATGATGTGGTATCTACAAGGTGATAGTAGAATTATTTTTCTTTCATTTGGGCCATATCTCCAAAAAATAATTAAAAAAAAAAAAAAGAAAAAAAGAAAAACCCAACACAGAAAATCAACAACTGAGGGTAATGTACAAGTTTCTGTATGTATAAAGTCATGCTCTATTTCGGGAGAGCAGCCGATCACAATTTGCTTTATAAATCAAGGTGTGGAAATGGTTACGTATGGATTGATTTAAGAAAATGGTTACCAGTCTACAGACAAAAAAATATATACAGGAAAAAAAGGAAGAAACACAACTTCAAAGATTTTTCAGTGACAAGAATCTGCATTTGTATTTCAAGATAATGTAGTTAAAAAAGAAAAAACTTGATGTAAATTCCTCCTTTTCCTCTGGCTTAATGAATTTCATTTATTCAGTATAAAATCTTTATATGTTCCACATGTTAAGAATAAATGTACATTAAATCTTGTTAAGCACTGTGATGGGTGTTCTTGAATAATGTTCTAGTTGCAATGTGGGATATCAGAAAGCAAACTAATTACAAGAAAGAGCAGTAATGATTATTCTCTTTCCCCTACTTTATTATTATGACCTTCAAAAATATTACTCTATTGTTCAAGTATTGCAGCAACTTGTTCTCCTTTTAGAAGAACCTTCTCACAGCACAGAGAAGCGTTTTTAATTATTATTTATAAAACCACAGAGCCTCAGAGGGGAAGACATAGCTGGCAAACGATAGTTCTGACTATGCAGATATCCAGTCTCATTGCTGTGTCTGGGGGGGGCTAAAGATGGATGTTAGAAAAAGTGACAGAAGATTTTGTTAAAGCAATAACCAACTTAAAGAAACTGATCTGTATTCACTACCTGTAATTCTCTCTGTTGGTTAAAGGTGCAAATACCCCCGTGATGTGGGTATTTAGAATAAACACCCACCCGCTTCTCCATACTGTATGTGTCATTGCATACTTACATGGCCTCTCATCCTGGGATTCCCCCATTAAAGTGGATCAGGCTTTAACAGAGCACATCCATCGCTGTAATTGGTGGGAGATGGCCGTTGCAGTTTCAAGAACTATGTGGTTTCACATACATCCACTCTCACCTGGTGATACCTTGTTGCTGAATGCTGTTCAAGCACTAATTTTTGCTGTTTCATCTTGGATCATTAACTTTGTTATCGTGATCATAGAAAGCTAGTAATAATCAGCTTCCCTGGAATTGCCATATAATTACACTGTTAGTGGACATCCTCCTCGCCTCTCCAATTGAGTGCAGAGGTGCTTGAAAATTACAACCCCATTGGCACACTGCCCATCCTGTTCATATGATTGCTATAACATTCATATATGTGTGAGAGTTTCCAAGACAGCTGAAGTACATACAGTTATCAGGCAAGTTAGAAACGTGACTCCCTGGTGTCACAAGGAGTAATTTCGCTTTCTAGCATTCCTTACTCAGTAATCTCTCTCCTCCCACACTGCTGCTGCAGCAGTCTTTCTTCCCTTGCATAACAATGTACCCAGAAATACATGGCAAATTATAACTCGCTTGTAAGTCTTCATCACAGAAGGAGTCATATTTCAGGGATGATTTTTACTGCTTAATATGGGGCAGTGTAGAAGTAGTATCCCGTACTAAGCCTATTTCTTACTAACACTTTACTACTTGATAGTACCCCATGGATACAGGCAAGCTGTTGGATAAACCCTCTGCAGGGCGGTACTGCCCTCTCTTAAGGACATCTCGCACCTCCTCTTCTGCATTCAGACCCAGAGTCCTCCAGGGGAAGCTACACCTGTGGCAAAGCACTCAGTTGTCACAGCCAGAGCTTCAGTGGTATTCAGAGCTGCTCTGAGCCCAGTTTAACAGTGTGGTGGGAAAGAAAAAAAAGACACCAGCCAGCCGTATGAATGTCCATGTGTATGTAACCTCGCTGCTGCTTTTCCAGGTGGACCAAGTAATAGAACTAGCTGGGGAACTGGAAAAGCAGAGAGGAAAGGTTACTGACACAGATACTACCTGAACATGATTTATAATAGTAACAGTAATTATCAAAATCACTGGTTAATAATATTACAACACATTTGTTGGAAGACAAGTGAAGCATGAGAACTCCAGTTCACTCTGTTGTCTGTGTATGGTTTCACCTCTCCCACTAATGTTTTCTCAAGCCTTTGGAGAAGACCTGCTCGTGGAACTTGTGAACTTACTGTGTTCTGGCTGAAACCTGAGCAAGTTGAGCTGCTGTTGGTACTGTTCCTGCAAGAGGGATTTAGTGTTTCCAGTTTTAAAAAATCTGTATTGTGCTGGTGCAATCATGTGTAGTGTATAGCAAAACTCAGAAGTTTAAGAACTGATGAGAGGGTGCAATATTTGAAATTCTAAACCCACAAGTTACAGAGGGGAAAGCAGCCTGTTAGTATTTTAGGCAATAATCAAGCCCCCAGATATTTAATTGTATCAATCAGCTACATGTTGTTGGACAGGACCAAGCAACAGATTGCTTACAGATTAAAATAGCAGCAATAAGATAAATGGAATCCCTGTATCTTCCTGACCTTTAGTGTCACATTGGGAACTAAGAGACGACTGTCCTTTTTGGCAGGAAAACAGATTTTCATTTAGCAGGGGTCAGGTCGATGGATAGACTTGTTGATCTGGAAGGTCCCAACCTAAATGATTTCTATGATTCTGTAATTCCCTACAATATCCTTAAAAAATAAGTAAAAAATAAAAACCTGCTCAGAATCGCCATGTTTTGAACTGTCCAAAAGGAAGGATGCAGAAGAAAAATCGATCCACATTTAAAAGCCATTATTGTAACCGTTTGTCTTTGTGCTTTACTCAGCTATTTCATTCTGCTGTTCATTGTTAATTGGTACCAAGGAAGAAATTGCTCACTGTCTCCTCCTTCTTCCATGTGAAAGAGAAGGAGCTGTAGATGTCCATAGTGCCAATGTCTGAGGCAACTTGGAAATGAGCAGGAACTCTGCGCTGAAGTGAGGTGGCGCACAGGGCCTGTTCAGCCTTACAAGAAGCTGTACTGTGTGCTTGGTTTATTACTTTGCAAGTAGTAGTATGGGTGTATTCAAAGAACCAATGCACACCTACTGCCCAAGTTCTATAATAGCACAATTATAATCACAGAGTTCAGTTCTCTGTATTTTAAACGGGAGATCAATCTCAAAATTTTGAAACAAGAATTCTCCAGAGAGGGGTGATGACTGCTGTTTTTATCACCACTAATGTGGTGTTACCACGTTGGGGAAACATGGGGAAACCACACACAGCAGCACACAGCAGTCCCTGCTCCAAACAGTTTGTGTTCCAAGTCATGAATAAGTAACTGCAAGTGGACACAAGGGGGAAAACGGAAAAAAAAAAAAAAAACCAAAAAAAAAAACAACAGTAAACCACATATAGAGTAAAATTATGAAGATCTAGAATTAAAGCCCCATACCACTCTCGAGATTTGTTTTCCCAGGATAACTTGTAACATTTCTGAGGGCTCCCCACCTTGCTTTTTCTCATCTTGAAATCTAACACTTCCCGTGCCTAATTCCTTTCCTCCTATCCATTGCAAGGATATTTTTAAGGACAGTTTAATCTGAAGGGAGAAAGGAACAAGAAGCCATTTGGAAAAAGGAGGCAGAGTATGAAAACAAAGTTGAAAGAAAAGCATTCCTGTGTCCCAAATGCATTGCTTAGTTTTCACATTTGGGTCATTCCAAAGAAACAAATGAACCAAGCTAGAGGAATTTGGCATTTCACTGGTGGTTGGTACAAAGAAAAAGGAAGTTAAAAGAGATTTTAAAAGGTAGAAGGAGTAGGGAAATGGAAAGAGAAGGAAAATAGAAGCTTCCACAGGCTGGTAAATTTAACTTTTCTTTAATTACATCATGTCTAACTTTAAATGACATTTAATTTTCAAATCCCTAGTACAGCATGAATGGGGAAGGATTAATATTGACTTTGTTGTTGAGTTCACATTCATGTATTTATTCGTGCACCATCAGAAAAGTGCTTTCAAAGTTTGTCCTTCCTTTCTGTAACTGTAGCTGCAGACATTTTGGACTGCATGTGAGATTTAGCTAGCTCCATGTCTGAGTGGCTTGGTTTCTGCTTCCAGCTATTTATTGTAACAGACATCTGGAATGTATTTCATTTCAGCACTGTTGTACAGCATAAAAACTGTGTTTTTTTACTTAACGTTGTTTTTTTAGCTGACCTAAACTAGTGAGATGAAGGGGGAAGATCTTCACCAAATGCCTTCAGCGGAGCTACAACATCTTGCCCTGACTTTGTTAATTTGCTCAGTCTATCATTACTTCTAGTATATATTGCATCTCCATTAATTAAAGATAGTTATTTACATTGAAAGGTGATGGGGTGGAATTGCCTTGCTGGCAGAGTGAATCCCAAATGGCTCAGGCATCTCCGTATTGTTTATCCATGTCTGCAGAGAGACTCCTGAAGGACAAACATTCTGACTTCTGCTCCCCTGCATAGTATTTTAAGAAGGCTAGTCTATATATAATCATGCCACGACAAAGAGAAATTATCTAACACAGAAAACTGTTGACATGTTAGAAAATGCTTACTCTGTGATGCAGTTCTCCACTTGTAGCAAATTGCTTCTCAGTTTTATGTATACATTTGCAACTGAGAAGAACAAAGAAAAATAACTGAATCTAGTACATTTTGTGTTCGTTCTAGCATAAAACTATGAAGTCAACTACTATATCTCTCCTTGTCTAAGAGAATTTGCAAAGAAATAGTGTTCCATTGGTTTATCACCGCTACTAAAGCTTACAGTGAATTCTTCAGCAAAAGTTCTTTTAGGTTTTTGGTTTTTATATAAAATGCGAAGCTCTGTAAGGAAGAAACAGTGAGCAAGAAATATCAAGACTTATGTACAGCGTGGCTTCTTTAGCAGAACTGGCTTTGTACGTTGTGTACACTGCTAAGGAAGACTGAGTTGCGTTAACAGCCTATTTGTTACTGATATCTTGTAGCCGTCCACAAAAGTCTACGTATTTCCATCTGAGTGCTTTGTATAGTCATGCATTTTTCACTGGCACACCTAACTGAGCACTGCAGGAGAAGTGCTTCCTTTTCATTCCTTTTCTTGCCTAACATTTACTCCCTAAGCCATTCATGTAGCTTCCTTCCCTTCCCCCTATGCATTAGTGTCAAATGCTGCTCTTTTAAGTAACTGAATTGCCTGGAGTTTGTCTGTTATTGATACCTTTTGGTATACAGAAGGATTTGTTCATTGTGCTGAATTTTATAACCAATTCTTGAGACAGCAACATCTCCTGAGGGTTCTCATCCTGCAGGAAAAAGTGACTACAGTCATTCCCCAACCCTAGCAGTGTGGAGGTGGTTGAGATCTGTCAAGGAGAGGTAAAGAAGAAACGGCTTTGTCATACACTCCTACATGCTTCAAAACACAGGCATGTTACTTATT